GCTGGCGTATTGTCGGGCAGGCAGGTTCTTCCTCACACTACAGGTTGCTATTTGACTTGCTCGGCAGGAACTCCTAAATTTTTAATTATGCTGAGTGTTTCTCAAGGGCCAAAATATTTTGTTATTGAGTTTATTGTATTAATAATATTATTCATTTGAAAATTGTGTCAGCTTTGAGCCAGTATGATTTATTGGGACTATGTTTTGGTTTACACACAGATACCCCCCTTTTCACTTATGCTTACATTTCATTATTAGGGAGTTGGTTTAGATCCATAATGCTCAATTTCACTGATGGTGAGTTTATAAAATTTTGACTTGTTACAATTTACTTTTGACTTAAAACTCACCATTTGGGACTTTGTGGATTGTGATTTATATTTGAGTTTGGCTATCAAGAGAGTTACATCAGAAATAAGAAAACATTGGATCTATAAGGATTTGTTTCATTACCATACAAACAGAAAATTATATGCATATTTACATACCAGGAGACAATTACAGATAAAACACCACCAATAAAAACCTTCAAAATGTATGTTTACATTATTGGACAACAATTGTTACACAACACAAAATTTACACCATACACAACTACAAAGACAATATTGTTTGTATAAATAGGTTACTTATATGTAATATAAGTATTGTTTATTCAAACAATATTTCCAGCCAACTTTGATAATTAATCTTTCCAGTAAACATGCTGACATCTTGGATACATTTAATTAACATACACAGACCATTTGCTACATCTTGAGATTAATTTCTCTGCCATTTGACACTTTGAAGTTACACTGCAATCTCACCAGGGGACATACTAATCTATTCTTAATCAGATACATATTACAATTATTCACTGTATGTGATGAAAGGCAGAAAAATTTCAGTCTCATAAAAATAATTACACATTAATTAGTATATATAAACTGAAGGTCAGTGGTTTCAGTCTCCTCCCACTAGATGATTGATGTACCCAAAATCTGTGTGTTAAGCCATATGCATGGTCTTGTGCAATCAGTTTCTTGGTTCAAAGCAGCCAAACTAAGTTCAACTTAACAGTTTTACAGTGCTAGAATTCAATTTACCACCCACCAACCCCTTCCAAACACCTTCAATAATGTTCATGACATGAGGAACATCTCAGCTTTTACCAGTGATATTTTTTTTATTTTATAACTTGTTTTCCTTGATGGAATTTTATCACTGGTCATTTCTAAAATTTCATTCATCCCCAAGCATTTCGGGGACAAATTTTATCAAATTTATTCCAGCGCCAGATTGATAGACCCTGCTACTTACTACTTGTAATAGCACCACATGGGCTATCCCCCATGCAGACCTTGCACACCCTGGCTGCAGATGAGACGCCTAGTCTCATCCCCTTCGTGGAGACCCCTCGCTTCACATTCCCAGCTGGCGTATTGTCGGGCAGGCAGGTTCTTCCTCACACTACAGGTTGCTATTTGACTTGCTCGGCAGGAACTCCTAAATTTTTAATTATGCTGAGTGTTTCTCAAGGGCCAAAATATTTTGTTATTGAGTTTATTGTATTAATAATATTATTCATTTGAAAATTGTGTCAGCTTTGAGCCAGTATGATTTATTGGGACTATGTTTTGGTTTACACACAGATACCCCCCTTTTCACTTATGCTTACATTTCATTATTAGGGAGTTGGTTTAGATCCATAATGCTCAATTTCACTGATGGTGAGTTTATAAAATTTTGACTTGTTACAATTTACTTTTGACTTAAAACTCACCATTTGGGACTTTGTGGATTGTGATTTATATTTGAGTTTGGCTATCAAGAGAGTTACATCAGAAATAAGAAAACATTGGATCTATAAGGATTTGTTTCATTACCATACAAACAGAAAATTATATGCATATTTACATACCAGGAGACAATTACAGATAAAACACCACCAATAAAAACCTTCAAAATGTATGTTTACATTATTGGACAACAATTGTTACACAACACAAAATTTACACCATACACAACTACAAAGACAATATTGTTTGTATAAATTGAGTATTGTGCAGTGTTTTAAGTGATCAACAAAGAATACTACTTGTTGAAAGTCACAAATGATGGTCAAAATATATCATGAAACAATTACCATATTTCATTTTACTTCTCAGGTCGGTATATCATGAAATAATGTATTCTAGTTTTAACAAAGAAGTAATTCGGGATAAAAAAATGTCTAAATTCATAAGTTTTACATGCATTTAAAAAATCAATTGCAAGATATTTATATGATTAGAAATCATCGCTCTTAGTTTGAAGTTTACGCCACTTTTCCTTTTCGTCACGAGGAGATATTTAAGGGGTTTCTATTGATTACCTCGGAAAATTAAATTTTTTAGTTTAAATATATTCACAAGATGATATGAACGTGTAAATGAAAATAACACTCTATATAGTTTGGTCGTCCGGAGCACTTTTCTGGATTCACTTTTATTAGGAACGATTAAAACCAAAACTATTAAAGCCAAGATGTATAAATACTTGAAGCTGTTTATGACTATAAGGTACCTAATAATACCCAAACCATATAAGGCCTAGTTTGCTTGAGATTATATAATTTGTTATTACGAAATTCAATTAAAAAATAATGTCTGTTGGCTGAAAAGCACTGACTACTGATCTAATGATAACCTCGATGAACAACATTCCAGCAGCTGCGGTATCTCTTACGCAGGTAAAACCAACTATGCATTCAATGACAATTTCATTATTTACATTAATGTTATGATTAACTCAACGTTTGTTTGCACAATGCATCCATGTTCATATATTGTCCATGACAAGAGCACTGTATTGAAACATGAATCGTTTGGGTATAAATGTGCAAAAGTGGAGAAATATAGATTAAACCACTGCAACAAGTGTGTTACGATATTTCTCCACTCGAGACAGTTAAATTTTAATATTTAAAGCGCGAGGCTTGCCGAGCTTTTTAAATAATTAAAATTTAACTGTTGAGAGTGGAGAAATATCGTAATACACGAGTTATAGTGGTGGACTTTGTTTCTCTAATAATTTTTATCCTTCCTTTTCAAAAAATTGCAGAAAGTTGTGTTCTTTATATGTGACGTCATCAGACATGGTCGCCTTTTTTCATGACGTCACAATAGGAAATTCAGAAGAAATCAACAAAATTTGACGTCATAATTAAATTTCGACCAATTATTTGCCGGGAACAGATATTTCACTAGTGAAGAGAAATATTTTTCTCACACCGATTAAGAAATGTGAAAATAGCGCAAAAATTAGAGAAACATTTATTTTCACTGACATTTTACGCGTAATTAATTTTTATATCCGACGGAAGGGGAGTCTTTGTCCCTCCGAATTTCTCTCAGCTATATATTTGCAATCAAGAAAGAGAAATATTTCGTAGTCGGTGAGGTAATATATGTATTAAGCAAATACATTGGAGCATTTATGTACGAGGCAAGTGTGGAAAAATATGCGTCTCTTTTCATTTGGCGTCAAACGTTTCATGTTCTAGATAATAATAGTAAAAAAGCCTGAATCTAATGATTTTGACCTTAGGTTGAATTGGCTATTATTTCATGTTTCTCTTGGCCATAAAGCCCCTCCAGTATTTAAACATTCTTGGCTTTCTAAACTTTGGGTGTGAGTGTTCCTGACGAAGCTTAATACAGAAAAAAACCGCTGCGTACACATCAAAGAATTGTTTTGACGAAAAAACAAACAAAAACAAAACAAGAGATGAATGAGTATTAATTTTCTCGACAAAAAAAGATGAGTTATGTTTCGAGACAAAGAGACTTCAAGAATACTCATCAAACTCCGATAGTCGACAGACCAACGTAGATATCTGACATATGATATTGTTATATTATCAATACCGAAAAGAAAATGTTAGGTCTCAAAGTAATCACTCAGATTAAAATCAGATCTTTCACTTTGCCCCTTAAGATTTGCTTTTTTCTCGTGTAAATGATTTGGTGGGTTTCAAGTGCGCTTTTGTTTAAAAACATTATAAGTGTCGTGTATATCTCTTGTTTCATGGGAGGAACATAGGATTTTATCTGTGTTAGGGAGACATCTGCTGATATAGTGTTGTTACCAGAAGTTATCAGTAGCCCAGTAGTCATTCAGTTTCATCTCGGTCCACTGACAAAATAACATGCATTTCGTAAATATTAAGTTTATAGATTTAGACAAATGTTTAAGAAACTACGGTTCCAACTCCATCAGGCTAAGTTGATCTGAAATGGTTTTGGCTATTTTAAGATCAATTTTTGTTCATAAAGTTTATCATGAAAATACAACTTGGCTCTTAATTATTTTTGCTTTAAGCCTTGCTAATGAAGGTAAATAAACATTATTTAACTGTGATAACTAGATAAACAATTTCATTTATCTTTCAAAATAAAATTTTCTTTGGAGATAGTACATTTGTGATAATAATATATTTGTAAAATTAAAGATTTCCAAGAATTATCATGGACATTTCTACAATAGCTAACATTTCTAAATTGAAAGTTAATGCGATTAAAAAGTAATTGGTATTTCTAGTGAAGCTGAAACTGTATGTGATACGAAAAGCAAGAATCAACTGGGATTTATGTCCAAAGTCTATCTCATATCTAGGTAAATATAAACGAAACAGCAATATAAATCTGAATCTTTCAAATTGCACAAAACGGAAGAAAAGGTTTAAATTTGACTCGTCAAGGTACTCCTTTTCTGAAGAAAGCTTAGTATTACAATTGCTGTTGGTGTCCTTTCTAGCAAATTGTCATCTCGGAAAATTTATCTATTCTTGCGATTTCAAATGTCTTTTCAAAATATTGTCCTGTTTAATAAAAAATAACATCTTCCCCTTCATGTTCGCTCTTACTATCAACAATTAATATTTTATTAGTCCAAAATGGCTGCCCATATACAACAGTTCTCTATTTTTATCTTTAAAATACCGTTGAACAACATTTCAAACAATGTACACCTAAATTTTAGCATATCGATTTACAAGATTTCGAGCTTTAAATTCTATGTGTTGTGTTTTAAAGTGGTTACTTTAATGTATTTATTGTGAGGACATTAAAAATTTTTAAATTGTGAATGTGCAAGACAAGACGTATCCAGGTTAGTGTTTTTATGTGCTGATTTTATGAATGTACAAAGACGTTATCCAGAGCAATAAATGAACTAAATTTGAAAAGGTACTTTCGGTTTGAATTTATTTGCAAGTGAGAAGTGAAACATATATCGCTGTTCCAAAAGAAATGAACCATATGCTTCAATAATTTAAAACACGACCTTTTAAGGATTTTTCTAATCGCCAAATTTTCAATCTACAAAACCTGAATTTAAAAGATAGTAACTCTATTTCAAATGATTTCCACGTGGCGTTTTAGCCATTTGTTAAGAGTTTTTCATATTTGACAATTGTCCTCCATGAACATGAAGCAAAGGAGATAAAGGGTGTACGTCATTTAAACAGCTTCACAACACCACAAAACCCAAAATACATTTAGAGGTCAACGTATGGTCTTTAATTTTAAGAACAAAAACAAATGACTATACAAAGCCAAGCTATACTCATTTTACAGATATCAAAGATTAGTCATCAACACCAAGTTTTCTAAATGATAAAGCATTCAAAGACATAAATCAAAACAAAGCTTGAAGAGGTTTCTGACTTAAGAAAATGTTAAAAAGGCAGATGCAGATTTGGCGAGACTTAAAATAGATTTTGTTATGAATCAACCCGCCCCCTTTTAATGTCGAATAGTCGAAAACCAAAGGTAAATAACCAATGTCATTTAGTTTTATTACTTCATATAAAGGGCCAATATGAGTTTTATAAGCAAGTCAAAAGTAGAATATAATATTTATACTGTTAATTTTTGGCGCAATGGATGCGTCCTGTTATTCAGAAAGAAATTATAGAAGTTATTATTTGTAACCCGAAAAAAACCACACTTTCTTTTATTCTGATGGTATACAGCTAAACAATAATATTAAAGCAATTGAGTGTCATAGTTTACTAACGTTGAAATAATTAAATGTCATTTTAACTGCAAAATTTCAACTGAAATTGTCTATTTTATATATGCATTAATTTTAAGTTGGGATTTTTTTGTTATTGACTGTATTCCTTAAAAGTTCCAATTTTGACTATTCTAAACTATTTAAGCAGAATTATTTTTTTCTTATTATATTCAATAAGTCTATTTTCAATGATAATGCTCATTCTAACTTATTCTTCAAACTAGTAAATTTTAAAATCTCAAGAAAGAGAGGGAGAGAGAGGATGTGGTGACATAAGACTGAATAGCCGAGAGAGGATGAGTGACATAAGACAGAATAGCCGAGAGAGGATGAGTGACATAAGACAGAATAGCCAAAAAATAGTGCACTTTTTATAGGTAGATAATACAAAAAAATAGGGAACAGAGAGAGAGAGGATGAGTGACATAAGACAGAATAGCCCAAATAGTACCCTATATATATGTATATAATACGCAAAAATAGAGAACAGAAACAGAGAGGATGAGTGACATTAGACAGAATGTCGTTGGTTCATATCTGTCATATTTAATTTGTTTTTCGTTAATTGTTTTGATATGAATTAGGCTGTTCTCAATTGAATTGTTTCATATTTTTCCTGTCGGGGCCTTTTAAAGCCGACTATACAGTATGGGTTTTTCTCATTGTTGAAGGCTGTACAGTTGCCTATAATTGCTTACATCCACTTTATTTGAACTTTGTTGGATAGTTGTCTCATTGGCAGTCATACCTCATCTCCTTATTTTTATGTATTATACAAAAAAAAAATAGGGAATAGAGACAGAGAGAGGATGAGGTGACATACGACAGAATAGCCCAAATAGTACCGTATATATATGTATATAATACACAAAAATAGAGAAGAGAGAGAGAGAGCCTGGATGAGTGACATAAGAAAGAATAGCACAAAAGTACAATAAATATATATAATACAAATTATGTGTGACAAGAACAACACATCAATTAAAGGATGATTAATTAGTATCAACAAAAATACCGAACTCCAAGGTAAATTCAAAGAGGGAGAAGCCCATTAAAAGATACCTTCGATAGAGTAATGAACATTTACACTTTAAAATAAGGGAAAAACATACATATAATTTTGCAAAATAAAAAAAAAATAATCTATCTAGTATATACAACTCCACAGTCCTAAACTGTATACCTCCATTTTTTTATAACTTTGAACCACCGTTATTAGGTCTTTCCACTTTTCCGTGGAAAGACCTTTTGCTTTTGTTCTGATTAATATTTTCCTGTCTATATATGTCTATTTGGGTTGGAAAGACCTTCAATTGATCAAAGTTCAAGGTCATATTCTAAATTTTGATTTTGGCTTGTTCTCACTAATTTTTAGATATTGTATAAGATATCGACAAAATATTTTTACAGAATTGTTAGTTGCGACATGTCGTAACACATAAATTTTTGTTTAAAGGGTTCGTAGACATTAAATGGGAGTTTTCTCCCCTCTTATATTTTAAATTAGCCGTATGGTGATATAACTCATTAACCATATATGGAAGAGACCTAGAGTCTTTTGATTTAAGGTCCTTGTTTTATGACCTTGAAATTGGGGTCAAGGTCAAAGTTTGATTTGGCGTTCTAGATTTTGACCTTTGCTCTAACTTCTTATTGGTTCAAGATAAAGTCACAGGATCTTTTACATTGGGTTACACATATATGACCTTGAAGAAGGTCAACCGGAAGTGACCTTTGAAAACCGGAAGTAGCCTTGTTTGCATTATTTTCATGTACAATTTTCTAGAACTTTATATTTTTTGAATCAGTGTGAAGTAAGGTTCAATTGTAACAGGAAGTAGCATTTTGTAAACCTATAATCTCCCTTATTTTGAGCAAAAATATACAAAATCCTTATATTTTCGGAATCAGCATTAATTAAGCTAGTATCTGAAATCAGAATTGACATTTTAAACTAAAATTGAATATTTTCCTGTCTATATATGTCTATTTGGGATGGAAAGACCTTCATTTGATCAAAGGTCAAGGTCATGTTCTAAATTTTGATTTTGGCTCGTTATTACTTATCAGAAGCCGTAAAAGATATCGACAAAATATTTTTACTAAATTGTTATATGCGACATGTCGTAACACATAGATTTTGGTTGAATGGGTACATTGACATTAAATGGGAGTTTTTCTCCCCTTTCATATTAAAAATTAGCTGTATGGTGATATAACTCATTAACCATATATAGTAGAGACCTAGGGTCTTTTGATTTGAGGTCCTTACTTCATGACCTTGAAATTTAGGTCAAGGTCATAGGTAAATTTGACGTTTTAGAATTTGACCTTTGCTTTAACTTTATATCTATACATGATAGAGCCATGGAGCTTCTTGCATTAGGTTGCAAGCCATATGACCTTGAAAAAGCCAACCAGAAATGACCTTTGTGAACAGGAAGTAGCTATTTTTGTACTTATTTAACGTAAAAGTATATAGAACCATATATTTTTGGAATCAGTGTCAAGTAAACTATCATATTATACCAGAAGTGACATTTTTCAAACCGGAAGTAACAAATTATCTCCCTTATTTCAAACAAAAGTGTACAAAATCCATATATTTTTGGAATCAGCGCCTAGTTATCTATCATCTGACACTTGAAGTGACATTTCTAAAATATATGGTTTTTTGGTGGAAAGACCTTCAATTGTTCTCTGAACAATTGGTTTTTAATTTTAATAGTAATACATATACAACTAAAAGAATATTGCTTTTAAGGTATTAATGCTCTTGATCCTACATACTGTCGATACTTATTTTATGAACTTTCACAAGGTCAGTTACATGCTTTTCTCAAGCTGCTTGAGGTGTCTTTACAATAAATACATCGGAAATGTACTTGACTGACATTTTAGTATTGTAGAACATGGTTTATGCGTTAGTTAAAATTTGAAATGAACTTGGATAGATACTTTGTGCAAGTCTTTTGTAAGCTTTTGTGTGCTTAGAACCGATGTGATTTGTCAATCCTTATGATGGATGTTACAACACTGTCCCAGGTTAAGGGGATTCTTGAGCGATCAAACATATTTCAAACCTTATCTTGTTCCTTCCTAATGTACCTGTCCGAAGCTAAAACATGTAATCAAGTGGTCACTGTTGCTTGCTGTCTTACATATTTGTTCTTTGTTGTAGTAAAATTCATGCCATTGATTTTTTTTACTTTTACATTTTTTCATATTGTTATGTTTTATAGCTTACTATACGGCATGGATTTTGCTCATTTTGGAAGGACGTACTGTGACCTGTAATGGTAAACATGCACTGTACTAAAAAGTAAAATAACAAAAACACCAAACTCAAGGAAAATTCAAAACGGAAAGTCCCTTAACAAATGGCAAAATCAAAATCTCAAACACCTCAAACGAATGGAAAACAACAGTCATATTCCTGACTTGGTACTGGCATTTCCTTATATAGAAAATGGAGGATTAAACCTGGTTTTATAGCTAGCTAAACCTCTCACTTGTATGACAGTCGCGTAAAGTTCCAATATATTGACAACAATGTGTGAGGAGAACAAACAGACATAACAGGTAAAAATGTCAAACATTGGGGTACATCATATAGATATAGGAAGATGTGGTATGAGTGCCAATGAGACAACTCTCTGTCAACATTGTGTTATTATCTTAATCACTATAAAAACAAACAACTATGTCAGCAAATAAAAACAAAATGGCATGTAGACACTCCATATAATACATATCCTTATTTTCTAAATTGAATACTTAGTTTGTTTGCTCTTGCTGTGTTGTGCAGTAGAATGTATCCTGATGGTATATTCCATTATATATTACAGATATGGGTGGCTTGCTTATGAGAGCCGCCCTCTCGAATGGTCACTTTCATATTTGTTCTATATCATCAATTTTGTCATTTTGTTTTACCTTTCTATGATATTTTGAAAAGCTTTCACATTTTTTGTGTTTGCTCTATGTATGTTTTACATTTTATTTTGCTTAACTCGCGTCTTACACTGAAATGCAGTCAATTTTAGCGATTGATAATTCATTGATAACATTCTGGCGTATCACAAACAAACAACTTGTAACTTCTCATTTCATTGGCCGAAAGATTTAAATACAACAACAATTGTAGTGTGCACGTGAATTGACACAGGTGACCGACAATGGAATGTACTACGTTACTACGAACGTAAAAAACAATGATTTTTGGTCGAAATAATTAAATAAGTATTTTGTGAATTACAAATAGTGGGGTCGAAATATTATACTTATAATTTGTGTTAAGTAATATTCTTTATGCATGCAGCACTTGTACCGCACTATGAAAAATATAAGGATAAAATAAAATACATGTGCCGCTTTTATACGGATGAATGTATGAACCACTTTAATTTCTTTCATATTGACGCTAGGTTATTATCCTGACAATGTCGTAGTTACTTATAATAAGGATCTCATAATACTGATCCATTTCAAATTTATGTGTGCACGTGAATATAGATGTACTATGCAATGTACTATCATGGTCACCACAAAATTCAAATAAATTCAGTGAAGGCATGTTGGTGTAAAAAGGTTTGAAATGTTTCATCGGCGAAGATTTTATTTTTGCATGTGTGGAACTAAAAAATAAATAAATACTTGTGAGAAATGTGGTAGTTTATAACTATATAAATGTACTGTTTTCGATTTTAATTGGTTGAAAATTTATCCTTTAATTTCATACCGTAAGAATAGAGCTTTGCATAACATTGTTGAACTATCCGCCAAAGTAACGTGTGGCATGCGTGCGTATTAAAATGAAATACAAAATCATACATGTATGATAAACTTATAAACGAAATATTCAGAAATTAAGGATGACTACTGTAAAAGTATGTACAAAAATGGAGTCACCTTTTATCAATACATTTAGTGAATAACCACACTGTTTAAAACTGATTGTTTTTTATGCAACTATTTAAATATTTACAATATATAATTTTCAACCGAGGATAACAAAACAGTTAATTATAAATTAAGAAAGTATATCGCTGGAGTTTATAAAGTACATGTCCTTCCACTGTGCCATGGTTTGCCATCTCCATTTTTTCTCTAAACAAAGCATGGCTGGTTACATGTTCTGAATTTACTTAGAATTTCGGGATTTTTTTTTCAAAATCAAGTAAACTAAATCAGAAAAAAAATCACACTATCCTAAAACTTATGAAAGAATATGAATAATGAACATGACAGTTTATAACACAAACCCATTTACTATAAAAATCGAGCAATGCCTTTAGTATGTAATTTGGTTATTTGTGTAGTTAAGTACGGTTTCACTTCAAGTACAACGTTAATTTATCAAGTCCATTGAATAAAAGATAAGGCAGGGTGAGCAACTTGACAAAAAAAAAAGGCAGGATGACGATTTATGTAAAAAAAATCAGGATAAACTAATAAATATAGTCAGGACCTAACAGACTGAAAAATAGAAAGACAGGACAGAGATAACAACTAAAAAAAATGCAGGACAAAATGTTTCATCCAAGTCCCCCACCCCCAATCAAAATAAAATGGTAGCTCCCTTAATCCAGAACCAATTGAGAGGAGACAGTTGAATTAAATATTTCGACGTGACTGTTAAGATTAAAGTTTAAAATTTTACATGCACATGTATAAAAGCTAGAATTGCCATGGGATAATCAAGAACACAATCATGTACGTGAATACGACGATGGAAGTTTTTAACGACCTTGACCGGCTACGTGAATACTGATCAGTCCATTCAGCTTTATAGTACGCGTGTTCTATTTTCGCAGGTGTGAGGTCGAAGGTTTGAATTGACCAATGAAAACGATCGTTCCTTAACGAGTTAATCTAATAAAGTTTGTTTGACTGATTATGTTGCACGACCTTTCGCTAAGCTTGGCCGCAGTTCAGTATATCGTCGGGCAATTTATGTCAAATTTTATTAGAGCTCTTCGACTGCATTAACTATTATTAACCTGTCCTTTATTGTGATACTAATTCAATGCTATTACGATATTTAAAATTGTGAATCGAAATGGGGAATGTGTCAAAGAGACTACAACCGATCAAAGAGCAGAAAACAGCCCCCAAGGCCACCAATGGGTCTTCAGCACAGCGAAGAAATCCTGCACCCGACGGCGGGCTTCAGATGGCCCCTAAACAAAAATGTGTACTAGTTCAGTGGAAATGGACGTCACACTAAACTCCGAAACATATAAATGAACTAAAATTAAAAAAAAACATACAAGACTAACAAAGGCCAGAGGCTCCTGACTTGGGACAGGCGCAAAAACAGCGATGGGGTTAAACATGTTTTGTGAGATTTCAACCCTCCTCCTATACATCTAGCCAATGTAGAATAAACAAACACACAGCAATACGCACAGTAAAACTCAGTTAAAAAGAAGTAAGAGTCCGATGTCAGAATAGGTAACAGAAGAAACTAAGCAAAATGACAATGATACATAAATTAACAAAGGACTACTAGCAGTTACTGACATGCCAGCTCCAGACCTCAATTAAACTGACTGAAAGATTATGTCTTCATCATATGAAAATCAAGCACAATCTCTCCCATTAGGGGTTTAGTATCATACCATCATAAAATATATGAGAAGAACATAACCTGTATCATGCCAACAACTGGTTTTAGAATAAATGTGTTTATTTCTGATGCAAAGACCCTATGAGTGAATCAATATTAATTTTAAAATATGCCATCTTTAATGACATGACAACAGTATCGTAACTTTATCCTTTCTAATTAAGTCTGTTTAAAGGTTTGGTTAGCTTTTGACTTGTTTCTTTTTCGCTTTTCTCCATTTTACACATTATCTACTATTGATCATAATATTGAGTAACGGACATACTAAAAACATGATCGATGAAAACAACACTTTATAATTTCTTGCGTTCATCCAGAACACTCAAAGCTGAATATTTGAAAGCGAAAGATGTATTAACACCGAAACTGTTGAAAAGCTATATGATAAAAGGGACATACGATAATAGCCATATTCATCTAAGGTCAACTTTGCCTGAAAGAGTTGAAACTTTAGTTTCTTTTAATAATTTCGAAATTTATAAACGGAAAATTTAAGAAAGGTTTGATGTAAATCATGCCAGTACCAAAGTACTGACTACTGAGCTGATGATACCCTCTTGGACTGATAGTCCACCAGCAGCGGAATCGGCCAATTGCTTTAGAAAATAAACAACAATTTATAATTTCACGTATCCGAAGCGCTTTTTCTGATGATGATGAGGATGATAATGATGGGTGTGTTTAACGACCTTGACTGGCTATCAAGCCCTCGCAAGGTCGCTATTCTGAATTTACCTTCATCAGGAAAGCTCAAAGCCGAATATTTGAAAGCAAGGAATGTTTATCAATCAAAACCAAAAAATACTATTTAGTATTCACTACTAACTTCACGAATGTCAATTTGCTTTTAAAACACATTTCAAATTTTACTGCAAGCTGTTAATTAAAATTCCCGTCGACGTTTAGCACCTTCCATATTTGTGTGAAAGGAGAATGAGGATACGCCTCCGCACCAAGATTCTTCAAACGAAATGCAAGTGAATATCCACACATTTTCCCTTGCATTTCCAGAAAAACTGAAAGTCCTACTCTTGATTATCCTGGAAAATTACTGTTTCGTCATCAGTGAACGGGAGAGCTATCTCTCTCTCCTTTTGCTACGACATTACCTGAAAAACTCTACTATATACCAAGCAATACATTACCATGAGTCAAAAGACAAGTTTGTATTTATGAGTTGAATGAGAGATGACAAAAGATTTGAAATCAACATAAAATTATCAAAATGCCTAATTTTCTTATTAGTATTGGTATAAGGAAGACAACGACAGAAATGTAAGGCTAGAAATTTTTTGCAATAAATTAAATCATCGCTGCTTTAGTGTATTATTTGTCTTTACAGAGAGTTGTTCTGATTACAATAATGTAATCATGAGAGAAGAAATATGCATAATTTTCATAATGGTAAGTACCAGAGATTAAATTCCTTTTATGAATATATGAAAGGTATTGAGCTGTGAGAAGTTCAGGCTTCAAGTGCCAATTAATTTATAGAACAAATTGATCGACAAAGCATTATGCCTTTTTCATAAATGTATTTCCTCTAGTGGTAGGTATATTCCAAATGGATTTGAACATCAGTAAACTACTGTTGGCGATATTGTATTTTGTTAACTTTGTCTATGTTTTGCGTTTCCCCTCATTTTACACAACAGAAAACGTTTGATATATATTCTACAAGTGTTTCAATTGAAAGGAATAGTCAGATGTAGCCCTTTTTAATATCGTATTATTAATGACAGTTAACTTTTTTGGTAAAGACGAATTCAACCATATACATAAATTCATGATATTGATTATATAACTGTTTAAACATACAAGTGAAAAAATAAAAGTAAATAATAACATATGATATATTCCTTAGATTTTGACTTGTTCTCTTGCATTCAATTTGTCATGCCCCGAACAAGGACAGTGGAATTACAGAGCAACTGCCAATTGTTTCGGTGATCTGAATAAATACACATGCCTCTTAGATGCTACAAAAACCCGCTATACAGAAACATGTGATGGTTCTAGGGATGAAATTGAAGGTATAGCTATTTTATTGTCGCAGTTGTTAATGGTCAGATTTTGTTTTAAAGGAGACGGTATAATCAGAGCCATTATTTGGGCCCTGAAATTGCAAACATAGTAAAACTATTAAAGCCTTCAAAACTTTGTTAATTTATGGATAAATGTACAGGTCAATAACATCAGGACACTTTAGTGCAGAAATGTCACTTTTGATGTTACTGTGATGTTATAAACATGTTGAAATCTATTTGTCCTAAATTGACCATTTTACATATAGTTTTTGGACAAAATGGGTATAAGCAACAGCCTTACACGAAAACATAGTTTACACAAATTAACTATCTGTATAAAATACATCTTGTTAATTTGTTTTGGGAAACCGTTGTTCATATCTAAATATTAATGACAAGATATCAAAATTATGCTTATTTGGCTATTTATGCAGTTTTTCCACTAAAAGCATGAAGTTTGAAGCCCTAGTGCAAATATATAAGAGAAAATTCGAAAATATAAATACTGAAGTCTGACAGACTACTGCTTATGAACATCTGAAGACTGTTATTTGGTAGATTGATCATTCTTTTTGATATTTGGTTTGAAGGGACGAAAAAAGTGGTCGTAACATACCTTCTCCTTTACAATTATCATTATGTACTTTCACGGTACTACAATCTGTCGATACCTATATTTTGGCATTGCACAAGGTCATGTTTTCTCTGATTGTAAATGACGTCTTTACACTAAATCCATTAGATGTTGGATGTGTACTGGTTGATATTTTAGTCTTAGATACATGATTTATTTTATTAGTTGTTATTGGCTTTGAACTAGCTGCCATTAATTGCGAGTACTCTCAGATCTGTACTTAGTGTCTTGTTTGATGTTAGGGATGAGGGATAGATAAATACCCTGCCACATCCGGTCTGTGTTTTTGTTTGATGTTTTCTGCTTTGTATCGATCTGATGAGTTAAGCCTTTTTCAACTGATTTTTATAGTTGTTCTTATGTTGTGCTGTTACACCATTGTCCCAGGTTAGGGGGAAAGTTGAGCGCTCACAAACATGATTAACCCCACCACATTCTTTATGTGCCTGTCCGATGTCATGAGCCTGTAGTTCAGTGGTTGTCGTTGGTTCATGTCGGTCAAATCATTTTTCGTAAATTGGTTTATTATAAATTATGCCGTTAGTTTTCTCAATTGAATTTTATCATGTTTTTCATGTCGGTGCCTTTTATAGCTCATTATACCGTATGAGTTTTTCTCAATATTGAAGTCCGTACGGTTGCCTATAATTGCTTCCATTCACTTTATTTGAACTTTGGTGGATAGTTGTCTCATTAGCAATCATACCACATCTCCTTATTTTTATATCAATATCTTGTTTGTTGGATTGTTAGAATAAGTGCTAGTTACAAGTTTTTAAATTTAAAATTATTGTTTCCCATTTTTGTACTTTCATTATTAACAATAATATCTTATATAGCATACATTCAAATGAGATTAAAACTTACCTCCGAGTGAACCATGAATTAGTATTCGAACGTTCAACACAGATGCCTCATCAGAAAGCACACCGATTGTACAAGAAATGTTTCAAGTCGAAAGCTGTAAAACACGATTAGAAATATCACTAAAAGTATACGACTAGAATTAATTAACTTATGTTTTATAACAATCAAAGAGAGAAAATACCAAAGGGATATTCAAACGCATAAGTTGAAAACAAACTGACAATGTCATTCAAAACGAAAAAAAACCCAAACAATAGTATACAATACACAACAAATCAAAACTGCTTTTTATTACTTTATTAAAATAGGACATAAGTCAACCATAAACCGGAATAATTTTGATACTACGAAATGCAGACCAGAGAGATTCCAACCAATAGACTTTACAACAGTCGGAAACAGTGACTGTGTTTTCCAGAAGTCAAAATGTGTCCAGGAAGGTCAAATCATTTCTTCGCTCAAGAACGATTCTTCGTTGGAGGACACAAAATGCCTGTGTGATTACACCAAAGGATATTCGTTCATCAATGTACCAAAAGACAAATGCTACTGTAATCCATCAGTTGATGATTGCTCTTGTTACCGAGAGTTTTGTCCATCAGGGAAAAAATTGTCACCAGGTGAGTCAATGCATCAGGAAGAAAAGAAAGCCAATAATTTCAACCTGTTCAAGTTTTTGTTTAAACTACATTCCCATTTCAGTAATACATATGCTTTGTTTCCTCTGCATCTGTTTCTACGGCTGCTTGAAAACAACTGTCTCATATATGATATAAGCATGATGAGCAGGACTTCACATAGAATTTTAAAAACTATAATATTTTTTCAATATCTTTGCAATGTAAGAAGTAAATGAAAATCTTCCCATTTTTTCTGTTTTATCTAAATATCTATAGACACAATTTGCAACAAGTCAAAACAACAAAGTCGAAGGTAAAACCGTTTAATCTTCCATCAAATAGCTTAAACAGATAAACTATTTTCCCCCCTAAAACATGTATTAAGAAATTTAAGTAAACGTATTACTGATGATCTATAAATAATGGTAACGGAACCATACAAACTTACAGTCAATACGTATTTAGAGACCATACAAGATGATCCAGAAAAACAATGTTTTAAAGAACATATTTGACACTAAATAATAAACCATATATCAAATTTATTAGCATCAATTTCAGTTAATTATGAATGCGGAAAACTTACGAGACAAGAAAAAAACTTGTTTTACATTTTACTAAGGTTTTCCTGATGAGAGGGGATTAAAAACATGAAAAAAACGAGATACATCAATGAGACTGCAGCCTAACATAAGAAATAACCAAAACTATATCTAGAGGGCATCATATACAGTCTTCATCAATAGACGGTTTATACAAATGCCAAACTCTTAATTAATCGACCTGAGCTTACCCATAAAGTCATGCTGAAGATATATACTGTTATTACACATATAGGTTTAAATTCTTTATACTTTGTATACTTTATTCGAGAGTTTCTATTTCTATGTAGCAACATCCCAGAAACGCCTGCAAATGGAGTATATTTTTCCAGTCAATACATTTTCTTTCCCTCGTTGTGTTTTGTTGACTGTGCTATTTGTATTTTGGCCGTTTTTCGTTTTTTTGCCATGACATTGTCACTTCGTTTTCGGCTTAACAGCTTGACTATCCCTTTGTTAGCTTCCGCCTTTCTTTAAGCGGTTTTGATTGTTTGTATAATTTTCCAGACTTTTTATCCAGGGTGTACTTTTTATGTATTTTTTTAAAAAGATTCCCTCTGTGTATGATAATATTTATGATATCATGGGGAATATATATATATATATACCTTTTTACGAATCAGCTATTTATTCACAAGTTACTGTCATTTGTTATAACGTTCCGATATTTTTTTAGTCATTAATGCAAATATCATAAGAACTGATGAGTAGAATACTACTGAAGTATCACAAAGTAGATGTATAACAACTTATTAAATGAAACATAGTATATTTATAATAATGATGTCTTTACATTTTTAAGTTCTTTTTCCGTTTTGCGCTAATGTTGAGCTGAAACTTGAAAATGTCTGATTTCATTTTAAAATATAACAGATGAATGGATATGCAAAAAGTAAATAACAACATGAAGTTTGACACATAGCCCTCAATATTGTCCAATTTATAAAAGTAAAACTATCTTTTCCACTCCCAATGACCTCACATTAAAACATTTTGCAGCAATGTGGTCAGTATATTTGTAAGAGGTACGCAATTTTTCGATATTTCTAACTCATTCTAATTTTGTGTTTTGTAGACTAGCACATCACACAGACATGCACACATATACTTTCATTTGTTTATTTTACCTTGTTTAATCATTCCAGATTATCAATGCAGTACGGAGATCGATATGAAAAAAAGGACATGGAATTGTTTGAATATCGCATTTGCCGATGACGGGTAAGTTCGAAAGCAAACCCCGATACGATTGTAGTCATTAAAACAAAAAGGTCAAAAACAAAAGAACGTAGTAATTCCGTTTTGTCGACATGATTGCCTACAAGAGTTGTTAACAGCAAACATGAGGTCAATTGTAATTATCTTAAAGAGCAATATCATACAGAGTTATATAAGTTCATTGAAATCAACACAGCACTGAGAAACTGATAGCTGGCGAATAGTTACCTCGAGACAAACACTTCACTATCAGTGCTAACGACCTAGTGAAGATACCAAAACTGTCTTTAAATAAACTAACAAAATATTTTACACTTATTGACCAAAATATTAACAATACAAAGCTGTCAATTTGCCTACTGTTCATCCGTTTTTATTTTCTCTAAAGTGAATTATGAATGGGAAAATTGCAAGGTAAATGTCAATGAGACAGGAAGCTTTTACATAAAGATTAGGAGAAGACAGCTTGCGGACAATATGAGTTTTTCAACAATTATAGATAAATGTCTTAACCATATGTCAAGCTAGAGATATTCCTGGGTCTAGAAAAAATATATTAGGTGACTACCAAAAATCTGCCATGAACAACAGCCTTTGTAATGACAGCACATACACGATATGAATAGTTGCTGAAGAGGTTAGTAACTTGGGATAGGCAAATAAAGAGGATGTTATTAGTTTTGTTTGTACAAAATTCTACCTCTTTTTCTCTTTTTAGCGGAAAAACAAGTACATATAAAACAGCAATTCTAACAAAGTGTTGAAAAACTACTTAAACCCTGAAACCAAGCTTATTTATATTCTGATATATAATCATGTCTTCTTCATTCTAATATGAACTGTTTTACCTCCAACTAGATTTAGTCATTGCGAAAAGTTTACACTAATGCCTCCAATAGATATAAGAAGATGTGGTATGAGTGCCAATGAGACAACCATCCATCCAAGTCAAAATTTATAAAAGTAAACCATTATAGGTCAAATTACGGTCTTCAACACGGAGCATTGGCTCACACTGAACAGCAAGCTATAAAGGGCCCCAAAATTTACTAGTGTAAAACCATTCAAACGGGAAAACCAACGGTCTAATCTATATAAAAAACGAGGAACGAGAAACACTTATGAACCACATCAACAAACGACAACTATTGAACATCAGATTCCTGACTAGGACAGGTGCAAATAATTGCAGCGGGTTTAAACGTTTTAATGGTACCAAACCTTCACCCTTATCTGAAACAATAGTGTAACATCACAACATAGAAAAACACACTATATAATATCAATTGAAATGGCTTAACTCAATCAAAAGACATATTAACACCGGTGAACATACACTGAACAAATAAATGTGATCTATGATACAATGCAAATACAAAATAAATAAACTAAGGGAAAAATAATTAAAGTAACATGTTATACCACTGTGAAATGTGAAACAATTTAAGAAAAACAATATACTTGAACAAAAATATCAGCCATTCGCAATAACTTTAAACACAGGTAAATAAAAAAAAATTTGTTGTTAGGTATACGTGTACAGTTCAGATAGAGAAAGGAAATATTTTTATAAAATAAATAATTTTGATGTTCATAGTACGAAGAAGTGAAAATTTATAGTAATACCAAACACTTATCAAAGCTGGTATATAGACCAGATATAACCCTGAATAACATTAAATAACAAAAAAGCATTACAATTAGTATCAACAGGTCATAAACAAGAAAGTACGATTTGAGAGTACTTGCAGTTACTGACAGCTAGTTAAAAGCCAAAAACAATTAATAATAAAAAATCATGCATCAGAGACTAAAATTAAATCAACTATAACACATCCCAGGGATTTAGTATTCTAACGTCACGGACAGTCAAAGAAGACATGACTTGTGCAATGCCAAAAATAAATGTATCGACAGGCAGTAGTCTAGTTAGGAGTTAACTTCTTTATAGATCAAAATGAACGTGGGTGTGTCTTTATACATCCCGTTTGAAAAGAATACAAATTTAGTTATGTTTTAATTTGTTAATGACAAAATCGATATTAGAGCCAATGTAAACTATATTCAAAGATCTAATTACAACATTGGTAAGATAACCTTTACTAATAAATTTGTTTAAAGGTTCGATGAGTTTACACGGTTCACATAGTGATTTCCGCGCTTTAAGTACAATATTACCGTAAAATTTAGGATGTGAAATACCGTTTTTAATCAGTTTTCTACAGGTACAGCCAAATTTACTAATCAAATCTTTGTATCTATGAAAAGTTTTACGTAATTTATGGTAACGAAATCCCTGACTTAATAATTTACCAGTGATGCATTGATTACGTTCGTTAAAATCTATGACATCACTACACACACGGGCATAACGTTAACGAACGAGTTGGGATAAATAAACACCTTATGATGGAGCCATCTAAAAATGAAAAATTAACGATAGGGAATGAAGGTCGTCTCTTTTGTCGTAAAATTTAGTATGGAGTTTTCCTTTAGAGATTGAAATGTCCAAATCTAGAAAAGGACAACTACTGCTGTTTATGTTAGATTTAGTTAAAGTAAGTTCTTTTGGGTAAATTTCGGTAGTATATTTAGAGAACTCTGGATTATTTAACGAAAATATATCATCTAGATAACGGAAGGAATTGTTGAATGTATCAACCAAATGTAACAATGGCGTGTCTTTACTGAGTTTGGTCATAAAATGAGAATCATAGCAATACAGGAAAAATCTGCTATTAAAGGGGCGCAGTTAGTGCCCATAGGAATGCCTACTACTTGTCGATACACTTTATCGCCGAAACGTACATATATGTTGTCCAGGAGAAAATTTAAAGCTTCAATCATATCTTCACATTTCCAGTAAGTGTATATAGCATCCTTTCCTTTTTCGTTACAGAAAAAGGCTTTAAACGAGTTACAGCAAATAAATTTGTAATGAGATTTCTCAAAAGACCATTAAATTAAATATGAAAACTTTTTCTTGATAAGATTGTGTGGAAGTGTAGTATAGAGAGTAGAAAAATCATAACTGTCAACAGAATTAAAAGGACCATCAAAAGCATGTATTTTAACTAAAACCTCTACAGAATTTTTAACACTCCAAAAATAATTAACACCACTATTTTCATAAGCTTTATTACAAAAGTTAATAACAAGCTCTTTGATAGAAGTAAGGGAGGTAGTTAGAAGCACTGATAGATTGGTAGTAGAACACTTACTAGATGCGGAGATGAAACGGAATTTAAATGTTTTTTTGTGCAATTTAGGTAACCAGTACATACTAGTAGTAGGGACTTTCAAATGTTCGGAAGAGGCTTTAAGCTGGGTAGTGGCAGTGATATGCTTGTTTACAATTTGACTCTCTGTAGAGCGTACGGACCTGAATGTAGATGAATTTATAATTTCGTTTTGAAGAACTTCCTTGTAGTATATGCGTCACACCACCACTACATTGTTTGCTGCTTTGTCTGCCGGTACGAAAACAAACCGCTTTGCGAGTACTAGGAGTTTGTTTTTTTATTCTAGAAATGGGAATATCATGGACCCCATTACTAATTTTAGAATTGTTTTCAAGTCTGATTTCCTTCACGTGAGTAAGTGTAACAATGATAAACTTAATATCTGAGTATTATTGTGTAACTTTTTTTTCAGTAAAAACGACGATCAAGTTCGACTATATATCGAGGATATTGACCCCAAAAATGGTAAATATTATTATAGAATGAGTTTTTTAAGACAAGGTAAAAAGAAAATAGTTCAACGATGTGAAACTAACAGGTAAAAAAGATATCCAAAGACCGCCTTGCATTATGTTAAAAATCCCTATAGTAAGACACACTAACGTAGTTTTTGTTAATGTTAACAAAATGTGAAATACATATAGCTAGGTTGTGACCCTTTTTGCTTATCACGCATGCAAAGCTTTTAACGGAAAATCAGATGCTACTAATCTACAGTCCACTTACCTCAACTAGTTTAAAAACTTAAATATGAATAGTATACATAATATGTAGAGCTTGACTCCCTTGGCTCACTATGACGCGTGTGGCCGTTTAAAATATAGAAATAAAGAGATGTGGTATGATTGCCAATGAGAAAAGTATCTAACAGAGCCAAATGCACGTAGGTTTAAACAACTAAAGTTCTTATGTTGTACTGTTACACCACTGTCCCAGGTTAGGGAAAGGGTTTTGCGCCAGTAAACTAGTGTAACCCCGCCACATTGTATATGTACCTGTCCCAAGTAAGGAGCCTGTAATTGAACGGTTGTCGTTTTTTACTGTTTCTCATATTTGTTATTCGTTTACTGTTTTGCATAGTTGTTCTTGTGTTGTGCTGTAACACCACTGTCCCAGGTTAGGGTAGGGTTTTTGCCTTCAAACTAGTTTAATCTCACCATTTTCTTTGTGCATGTCCCAAGTCAGGAGCCTGTAGTTCAGTGGTTGTCGTTTGTTCATGTCTGTCATATTTGTTTTCGTAAATTGTTTTGTTATAAATTATGTCGTAAGTTTTCTCAATTGAATTGTTTCATATTTTTCATGTTCGGCCTTTTATAGCCGACTATACGGTATGGGTTTTTTCTCATTGCTGAAGGGCGTACGGTTGCCATGACGGCGTGCACAAAGCTGAGTCAACAAACGTATCGTCTTCAAATTACTTAAATCATTTACGACGTCGGCATTTTTTCACCAGAAAACAAACACGTAACAAAAACACTGGACACTTAGTTTATCACATAACTTTAACATAAACGTTCAACATATTTCTTTCTTTTTCCAATAACAAAGTACAGCTAATGCACATTCTGGAAATATAGATAAATATATGCTCAGAGTAGTGTAATGAATATAATAAGCGACTATGTCGTGAACCCTTTTCAGAAAATAGCGTTAAAACGTCATTTCTTTGAATTGTAACATAATAGCTGGACATTAAAAAAAATCAGGTGTTCAGTCTGGACTATCGAATTATTCATATTTTGCAGATTTTTGTAAACCTCTTGTTATGCACATTTGGAATATCAAGTTATTTTGAAATAAAAAAAATAGCAATTACATATTTTTTTTTACCGATTCCTCCATTTTCGAATAATAATCCTTCCAAATTACTACTTCTTACTCATAACGAACTACATTCCAAACTCATTCACCATGGCCGTTTTGATTTTTTTTGCGGTGAATTTCATATGACGTCATAGTCCGAATCTGAAAAATTCTATTATACAAAAATGCGGGAAAATATGTTGAATTTGTATACATTTTAGTTGAAAAAAACACTATTTTATGCTTATTTAATGTTACAAGTTACACATGTTTTTGCCGTTTTCTCCATGTTCGTTTCATACTTAATAGATTTAATTTCGATAACCTTACTAGTAATGTGGATTTTAATGGCTAGCATTCATCATTTTATCATTAAAAAAAACTTTCTATCTAAAAGATATTTTAAACAAAGTTGCATAAAACTACTTTTGAAAGCGCATTTTACAGTTGCCGTCATCTTTGTGCACGCCGTCCTATAATTGCTAACATCCACTTCATTTGAACTTTGGGTGATAGTTGTCTCATTAGCATTCATACCACATTTCCTTATTTTTATATTCATCATGCGGCCTTATCAAAGAGCTAATAAATAACCGTATAGTAAGCTGTTTAAATAGGCTTCGGCATGACATATTTTGAATCAATTCGAAAAAGAAAATCACCGCTTTGTTTACAGCTGTGTAACAACGTAACATAAGAACAAACAGTAAAAAAATTCAATTGGGAAGGGCATGAATTGTAGGATCATCATTTTGAACAAAAAAAAAAAAAAAAATAACAAAAAGAAGAAAAACAAATATGACATACAGCATTAAACGAAACCACTATATCACAGGTTTTTTGTTTGGGATAGGCTCATAAAGAACGTGGTGGGAGATTAAACATGTTGGAAAGCGCTCAGACCTCTCCTAACTTTAGGACAGTGATATAACAACAATATAAAAGCACACAAAAATCAGAAGGAATAGGTTTGACTCGTCAGATCAGCACAAAAACAACTTAGGATTGTAAAAGATGTAACGGAGAAACGACATTTTTCCTTTGCATGCCAACATAGGTATCGATGCCATAAATATAGACAGTATTCTTCATTATAAATCAGTTCAATCAAAAATACATCCCTACTTATAAATAAGATCACTCTGTTCCTATCATATCTTACACCTATACCACACCTATTGCGACTAAAATTTTCCATTGTAAAAAGGTGATGTAGGATCTCAATATTGACGACTTCAAGTCTAAACCTCCTGATTGCTTCTGTGCTAGTTCCTCATTCATATACTATACAATTATAGCCTTTGTAGGAGGTCGATACAAGGATATATTGACCTGGAAGAAGTATATTGACTGAGGACGAAGTCCGAGGTCGATATACTTCTTTGGGTCGATATATCCTGTATTGACCTCATAAATAGGCTATAATTGTTATATTATTAATTTCCGACCATATTTGTATCAAAATCGTCATTTGATTTTGTTGTAATTTTATAGATATCACATTGTCTCCTAGACAATAACAACAGATTAGTTGTTATTTCATTTACTTTTTTGATGTTTTTTTTTTACATGTAATGTATTTGAAGATTTTTTTTCTTCAAATAATCGATCATAGATATTTTTTTATAAAACTTTTAACAATATCATGAAATTCATTACATGACGTCACAAAGTATATCGGTTTTTAGATATTCTTAAAATAACCGTGCAATATGCTTTTTGCTGTGCAATATGCTTTTTGCTATCCGCCGTTTTCTCTCTACCTTCGAAAATATAGTTTAACATGTGACTATCCCTGAACGAATCAAATTAGTTAAAATATACGAATTAATAATATTATATTATATAGCATGATTTGACTTCTCGAATAAAATATTGTTTAAACCAAGGACCGAATATATATGTTTTTGAATGGTTTGTCAATTTTGACGTATTTCCGAACAATTGGCCAAATATAAATGCCTTACGGTGACACAAAACTGCAATCTTGATATATTGAGTCAAAGTATAAGTAATTAGTAAGAAACATGTTTAACCAAAACCAAAATTGTTTTGAAAGCATTTCTATAAATTGTATTTCAGAAACAAATAACTTCATACTTAATAAATATATCCTTTGTTGCACTATTTTACTTATAGATAAAATATCCTTTCAACAGCACCAAGAAGCACTGAATAACATTTTGATTTAAAAAATAATAAATTTCTGGAATTTGTGGATATATAGTTTATAGTCTCTTTGATATTCGAATTTCAGTAGAACTTGTCAATTTTCTGATTTCAAATCTGTCAAGGTAAAATAACAAAAATACCGAACTCCAAGGAAAATTCAAAACGGAAAGTCCTTTATCAAATGGCAAAATCAAAAGCTCAAACACATCAAACGAATGGAAAACAATTGTCATATTCCTGATTTGGTACAGGCATTTCCTTATGTAGAAAATGGTGGAATAACCCTCTCACTTGTTTGGCAGTCGCATAGAATTCCATTATATTGACAACAATGTGTAATCACACAAGGTAATAAATTAATTCAGGAAACATCTAAGCAGCTAACGTTTTATGAACACCAATATTTATACTAAAAAAGGTACACTTGGAAACAAATTAAATTACTTTTTCGGCCTGTAATTGAGAATTCAATAAAAAGTTTTGGAAACGGGGGCAACTTAATTTTGACTGGGAAAGATTACAATACAACTGGCCACACTGAACACTTATATGTCTAAATACAGGAAGGCGAATGGGAAAATTAAGAGTAAGGCGATGGGTGGTGTTAAAGTAGCGGTCTTTAAATTATACATTACCAAGCACAAATTTCTGAAATCTTTCAATTTTAAGGGCTACATGCGTAATAGATTTTCTTATTCAATAAAAATGATTCTTTCTTCCGATAGTCAGACTATTTTGAATACTTGCTGGCCTCTAAAAAATACTCCCGAATACTATCAAATTGTATTTGGACATTTTATGAAACTTATTAGGAAACTTGTTTCTGATTTTTCTTAGGCCGAAATGTGGGCCTGAGTACCCTATCACGATTTTAAATTTGAATCGAAAAGAAAATCATTTAAAATTCATATTTCCACACACACACACAAGTTTTAAATTTCACGTTTTGATGATTACATGACATCTATGTTTCAAAAGCCGGAATCCGTAATGTTGATTGGGTGACTTCAATTGCAAGGCATTCCAAAATTAGATTGTATTTCCTCCAAACATGCAACATTCACGATAGCACGTGCTTCCCATGACAATGTCACAACAATGCAAAGGAAAACAAACGAAAAAGTTGATATAAGCCGTAATTGCATGGCTGCCTCCAAGCTTCATACAAAATGTGCTTCGACCAAAGCTTTTACGCCCCAATAAAATTACAAAAAGAAACATTGAATTATTCCTAAATACAGAACACCATACTGAGCATATGTTTGAGTCGAGATTTGTAAATATTTTGCATCGCAAAAAAAGGGGGGGAGTAGGATTTAGTTACCACTTTAATGGTTAGTGCCTTCCAGACATTCGTTAATGACTGATTGAGTATTTAATACCACCCGAACAAGCAAATGGGGGAGATAAGATCAGGGATTACGACCGTATACGAATATGGTCACCTGAATTTTTTCAACAATAATCCAGTGAAAAATACCTCCGGCTCTGTCTATGACGACCTACCAACGTACAACGTACACCAAATAACGAATCAAAACAGCTGTATATGTGTTATATTAGTGATATGTTCAACAAACTCGACAAACTAGTCAGCCAAACACACGAAATTGACCTAGATATTCTCTACAGGGAAAAAAAAAGCATAACGACACTCATTATTTTTTAAATCTATTGTTTTTCTTCATTGTTCTAACCTTTATAAAATGAAAACTTAAAAATGAAAAAAAGAAACATCTAAGGTTGAATGGAACCGGAACCAAATTTGCCCACACGCATCCATATAGTATTTACTTTAAAAAATGCAGTTTCTGACTCTCAACTACAAAAATAAAAATTAGAGTGATGGTGTCAAGTTAACTTTGGTACTGGCATGAAAATACGGATTTTGCTGTTATAAAATGTTGGAAATTATTTTGAATTAAGGAATGTATATCCCTCATGCAAAGCTCTGATTCCTTGCTTTGGCTATACTCTTTGGTCCTTTTTGGTTTATAGCTCTTCATATGTTTAATAAGCTTTGGATTTTCAAATATTTTGGCCTCGAGCATCACTGAAGAGACATTGATTGTCGAAATGCGCATCTGGTGCAGAAAAATTGGTACCGTTTGTGTTATTAAAGCTATAAAAAAACAAGATCTGTAGAAGAGCTATAATAACGGACATTGTTCGTTTACTACTTATAGGAGTAATTGGCCTTGATTGACATTTTTATATTTTTTGGTGAATTACTCAATACTGTTTTAAATAGAGGAAAACTGTAATCAGCAATTATGATTAGTAAAACAAGATCTACATAGTCAATATGGCGAAATTCAGATAAACCTCCCACTTGTATGACAGTTTTTTTTTAGTTTTGTTATATTGACAAAATTTTGTGATCAATCCAAACAGACATAGATCTGTACTTAGTGTCTCTTTTGTTGTAGGGATGTATAAGTACCCTGCCACGTCCGGTCTGTGTTTTGTTAGATGATTTTCTCCTTTGTATCAATCTGATGAGTTAAGCCATTTTTAACTGATTTTTATAGTTGTACTACTACACCACTGTCCCAGGTTAGGGCAGGGTTGGCGCCTTCAAACTAGTATAACCCCGCCACATTCTGTATGTGCCTGTCCCAAGTCAGGAGCCTGTAATTCAGTGGTTGTCGTTTGTTGCTGTATATCAAATTTATTTTTTCGTTCATTATTTTGTTCATAAATCAGGCCGTTAGTTTGAATTGTTTTACATTTGTCATTTCGAGGCCTTTTATAGCTGACTATGTGGTATGGGTTTTGCTCATTGTTGAAGACCGTACGGTGACGTCAAAAGTCATACAACAACAAAAAAGACATAATAGCACAAGACAAATAACGAGGAAACTAAAGTAAAATTAAAAGATACGCACACAACTTCAGCACCTAGAATATATAACTCAAGTTTGTGAATGTATCTATTGGGTTTTGGTACTTTCTAAAGAACTTTTTTGAAAAAAAGGAAGAGACGTTATTTTAGAAAACCCTGGCTCATTAATTTTTTGCTCAGACATCAATGACGTTTTACAAAGTCTGAGTAGCAGCTGCAAGCTCTTGACTATTAAATGAATTGAGAAATGAATACTCCATACGCGGGTGCAGTTGGTATATTGCTGCAAAGGTGAGGAAAATTTATAATCGCAAAATTAAAATCGTCTCGTTTGTCATATATTCTGATACTGAGATGACCGCCGTTATCAAATTTAAAGGTAAATGTCTAGAAATGATGCGGAGGAAGCTGTATATGTGATTTCTTTAATCATGTTCAAGATAATATATTAATGGGACCCAATCAGAAAAGTTGGATTGTTAATGAAAGAACATCTATGATCAATATACCAGCGGTGAAGTTCTTTAACACGTCAAACTAGTTCAATCGCACCACATATTGTACCTGCACGCTATGTGTAACAGTTGTTTTTTTTTCAATATTGTTTGTTTTTGTTTTTTTTTAAATTTGAGTGTTGTTGCTCGATGTGGTCTGTTGTATTCTGTTGATATTGTTTGGTGATTCCTGTTACCCTTTCATATATTACCAGATTTTTTTTACATGATTTGACTCCGCAGTTTGTATCAGATATTAGCAATTTAATTAAAATTAGTCATCCGCTCTTGCTCCTCATTTCAGTTCGGCTGTGTATATGTCGCGCGACATATAAACAACCGAACGAAAATGAGGAGCAAGTGCAGAGAACTAATTTTATTTAGAGAAAGATATTAGCAATCATAATTTTTTATAAATTACTATATTTTATTATATATTATTTTTATTTTTATTTGAACACTACTATTCCAGAGAACTGTTAATCGGCTTATCAACAGTCATATTTTTCCACATTGAATTCTTTAGACATGAGAACTAGATTCCTAACTTTTATAAGATAAATTCAAAACTGCATAATACATATTTTAAGAATTAATGTTTAGTTTTTTCCCTCTTGGTGTCAGTTGCTGTATATGTGTTACATAGACGAATGCAAAGTAACGTTCTTTGTGCTGATTGTTTAGTGCACACTTACAAATACAAAGCTCCTTATTAATGAAAGCTATTAAATCAAAGGATTTTAGAAAATAATTATGTAATTTATCGAGTGAGTTTGAACATCAGTTTCTATAACAAATCACCTAAACCTCATTCTAATGATAGTTTATCACATTATTGTTTGCAACATAATAAATAATGTTCAAAATTTTCATAATTTATATTCCCTTTTATTGATTAGTTATTAAAACTATATAAGCAGTAATGAATCCTTAACATATGCGACAACTTCTCATATGTGTGCTACTTCATGTTCTTTTTAGGTTTTTTGTGTTCGTGTGGTTGTTTTTCATTGTTGTAGCCTCATTTTGCACATTAAGATGAATAAAAAGAGATATGTTATATTTAGTTCACCAAATTATATGGAAAGCCGCCTCTCAAAACATCAATAATAATAATAATTAGTTCACCAGTCAACAACAAAAACCTCAACGAAACAAACAAACCAAAACAAAACAAATAAGACAAAAAACGAACAAACAAAAGCTAAAATATAATAGTTTTAAAGGTTTAAAGCTTGTTTTTAGATAAATGGTACGTTTTTCTATCATATTTTTATAGTAAGATTGAAAAAAGGAATAACAAAAATCATTGGTTAAACACATATAATACCATTGTAAAAAAAAAAACAATGCTTAACCAATAGATAAATAGTTCTTAAAACAGTATTGATATAACCATGGAAGTATTATGTTGTCAATACAATACTTCCATGATCACACTATTCAGCTGAAAACTTGGGATGAACCAGTACAGGGAATAGCAGTTCCTTCCTGTATCTAATGACAGGCAAAAGTCTGCAATTTAGTCTCGTCAGTGGGACTACAACTGAAAGAAAAAGAAAACACAAGGAATGAATCTTTTCTGTGTACCTACTGCTGTTTTAATTTCGACTTTTTAGTATTTTATATTTTCAGTAATAACTAGAAATACATGATATTTTAAATTCTTTAATATGTTAAGAGTGATCATCGAATGAAGTGTAGAATACAAGCAGTCTCATAGGAATTCATAGTAATGAGACTGCTAAGAAAGCTACCAGAAGAAATCGTTTCATTCACTTATTTATGAATAAATATTGACCAAATTGCTTGAATGTTTTCCCTGTAGGAAGACCATATATAATAGCAGCACAAGTAATTGTACCGATTATAGTGGTCATAATGGTAGGTAAGTATCATATTTTTCTTTAAATAATACATATTTACATGTATACGATATATATGTACGGCATTGTTATAAATGGAGTACTAGTATACCAAAGTCAGGCTTAAATAAAGGCAACAGTAGTATACCGGTGTTCAAAAGTCATAAATCGATTGAGAGGAAACAAATCCGGGTTACAAACTAAAACAAAGGAACAGCAGGAACACTGAAGTGTAACAAAAACAAACGCCAACATACATAGAAACGAACTATTTGATAACAACTGCCAAATTCCTGACTTGGTACAGGACATTTTAAGAAAAAATGGTGGGTTGAACCTGGTTTCATGGCTAGCCAAACCTCCCGCTTTATAACAATGTTAAAAAAATATCGCTAAAATGACAACACTACGCGACAGATATATAGCACAAACACATAATATAACAGTTGACACAACATGCAAACCGCAGAACAACAACGAACATATTCCATCAACAACAGACACCACAGGAAATCACAAACAGTGACGCGCTTACGTAACTAACATGCAATCTCGAACTTTATACAATTATTTTCACAATACTCGTCCAAACAATTTTCATGACAATGATGTTATGGAAAGGCAATTTTATAATTATTTGGACTACAAACGATAAGACATAACAGATTATCCAACCGAAACCATAACAGAAACATCAAAAATAAATACATGAATGTTGGATGTACAAAATACCGAGACACGTCGTATAGCAATGCAAATTCACACTCGTTATAACAGTCATATTCGGGAATATGACAATGATGGTATTGAAGGGCAATTTTATAATCATTTGGACAACAAACGATAAGACATAACACATTATTTAACCGAAACCACAACAGAAACATCAAAAATAAAAACATGAATGTTGGATGTACAAAATACAGAGACACGTCGTATAGCAATGCAAATTAACGCTCGGTATAAAAGTCATATTCGGGAATACGTCACATTCGGTACTTAGCAGACAGACGACATAGATGTTAAACCACAATCTAAGACGTGGTAAAAATGTCATTAGTTAGTTTAGACACAGACACATCGTATAGACAACCAATTCGTGATGGTGTCCATAAAATTTACGGAGTGTCATTTTTAATCTTTCCTCCTCATAACTCTGTTGGAGCAGTTTCTGCGTTAGGAGCACACTCCTGTTTATGAAGTCAGTATAGTGTGAACATGCACGACCATAACGTATCAATTGAGATATGTAAACACCATACGACGGAGCAGAGGGTATGTTACTGCTGAGAAATGGGTAATTGATAATTGGGAAGTTGAAATCATCCCGTTTGTCATAGATTTTAGTGTGAAGTCGTCCATCTGTGTCAATATTGAGGAAAAGATCAAGGTATTAAGCAGTTCTTCTTGTATCAATAGTATCCTTAATTTCAAGTTCACTGGGATATATGAGATGCAAGTACTGACTGAAATATGGGTTATTCAGTGTTAGGACATCATCAATATATTTGAAAGTAAAATTAAAGAATTTTGCAAGGTGCTTTTCTTTTTGTCTTTTAGAAGGGTCTGAATGAATTCTGCTTCATACGAGTACAAAAACAAGTCGGCCATAAGGTGTACACAATTAGTACCCATTGGAATACCGACTGTCTGTTGAAATATCAATCCTCCAAACTCAACAAATATATTGTCGATTAAAAAGTCCAGCATTTTGATAATATCATCTTCACTGTATTTTCTGATAGAATAGTGTGGTTCTTCACAAAATAAGAATTATTATAACCCAAAACAAGAAATTTATATCTACGATTCCCATTTTTATAGAAAAAACTCTGTTTAATGAGATGGTGAAGTCGATCTTTCAATTGAGCATGGGGAATAGTAGAGTAAAGCGTAGAAAAATCAAAGGTCTTAATGTTGCTGCAAAATTGCAGAGATTGTGATCTGAGATTTAGCAGTAGGTCTTTAGAGTTTTTGAGAATCCATATCTGATTGACATCACTGGTGGAATATATCTCATCACAATATTTTTGAAGGCCATCTTTTACTGTAGAAAGAATAGTAGTCAACACTTTAGAAAGATGTTTAGTCGAGCATCTTGATGATCCAGCTATGTATCGTTCTTTATACGGAGTTTTGTTAAAATAGTTATTGTTATAATTATTAATTGTTGAAGTTTCACGAGATCAAAATGAATTGAAACCAGGTGTAAAACCAGGTCAAGCATATTTTATTATTGATGCAAAGCCCGTCGTATGATTTTAAAAGAATATCATGTAGCAAATGACAAATGGCATAACCAATAATAATTTCATAATATTGCTTGAGGAATATATCTTAGATGATGAAACATGCCTCGCGTATATCAAGATACATGTACAATTTCCAATTGTGTTTCAAAGTCATGACGTTACATGCACACTACCACTTGAATGGCAGCCATTTCCAGTTCATGTTTATTTATGCATATATTGTATAATGCAAAGCTTAAAAACACTCTCTTGATCGTATAACAAGGAATGACAATCATTAGGTTTTTTCTATGTTTTGCCATTTTGATACTATGTTTGAGATTGTTTTGACTTTTATCGAGTAACTATGATACTTATTATTTTTTTGCTGGCACATTGATGTTTAAGTACTGGAAACATTAAAACTTGAACGTCTGAAAGTTATGAAGATACATGTAATGGCTGTTAATGAACATATTATTGTGACTGTCACTTAGCTCTTAAATCACAAGTTTTCCCCATTTTTGAATTTTGAAAAAATCTTTAGCAGAAAGAGAGAAAATATAAACAGATTTTTTTTTATCAGCAACACAAGGTAAAAAAAGAGATTTTAGTCATGAATTATATCCTAGTCTATAATGATAGAGAGTTGCCGTTGTTAAAGATACACAATGATTCATGTGAGCGACACATGCTCTTTAGAGACTCTAGTTTATTCTGTTTAAAAAATGAGAAAGGTATAATCCTAGCTTCTTACATTTTATGTCTACTTATTTTGTCTCTGCTTTTATGAACCATTTTCATTTTTCTAGTTTACCATTCCAATAACACGAGTCGTTTACAAAAATCTGAAAGAAATCATCTTAGCTACTTACATTTCAGTTCTACTAATTTGGTGCTGGAAAACAACGAAATCAGACAAAATTGTAGAAAGAATTAAGCGTTTAGGTATGGCACAGTTTTAAGAACACATCCACGAAAACAAATACACCTCTGATTAAAATTTGTTCGCTAACGGCTTATAATGAAATATTCCAAAAAAGTTCTATTATCTCAAGTTTTTTGCATAGAATTCATAGTTTCTCAGATTCGTTTATATTCTCAAATTGATATCATTGCAAACATACATGTAGCATATTAAGTAAAACAAATCTTAAATCTTAAAAAAAAATGATTGATTGATTGGTGTTTAACGCCACTTTCAACACTATTGTGCTTTTTCGTGGCGGTCAGTCTTTATTGGCGGAGGAAGCTGGAGTGCCCGGAGAGAACCATCGACTTTGGGTAGGAAAACTGACAATCCTAGTCAATCACGATTGCAGTCGAGCGCACCCGGCACGTGCGGGATTCAAACTCACAACCTCAGTGTTGACAGGCTAGTGATACAGTAGTTCGACTACTTAGACCACTCGGCCACCGAGACCCCCAAATCTTAAAAAGAGAAAAAGAGAATAAGAAAAGGAATTTTGATGAATACTTATTTCATCAGATTCTTTTTAAATTTCAAAAAAGAAAAAAAAACTAGTACCAAGTAAAATAAAAATCATTAGTATAAAAGGGACAGACAACACCATAGTCAAAAGAAAAAAAGACAGACAACAATCCATAGACAACTACACATTAAACTGTAGATAAGTTACCTATACACATTTGGTAATTAGTTGCATTACGTGATGGTCATGATCAACCATAAACCACCTTCTGTAAAGGACCAGCTGAGAAAAAAACACACAATTGAATATCGTATCAAATGGCACATATATATTAAACTTCATAAGCAGGTGCTAATAGAATGTTCCCGCATAGAATGAAAAGTTCATTAATGGATAGCTAAATTAAATTTTTGTACGAAAGACTGGAAGAAACATTCTATTTTTAAAATTTTATACTTCCAAGTTGACCATTTTCAGCTCAAGTTGACAACGTTTACCCTGTTTTATAGATAATTCGTCATTTGTCTTAATTCTTGCACATATTTGTGGTCATCCAGTCAGTAGCTGTACTGTGCAGGTTTTTTTTGTCATTGACTTGCATGTGTCGAACGTCGCAGAATGCGAGACATAGGGATGCTTATCCGTAGCGGGGACAGCGACAGCGGCGTCAAGTCGTTGCACGAAGCTATACATTTTAGAAGGTTGAAGACCTGGAAACTGCATATCTAGTATACAGTGCTTTATGTTCGCAAGTCTCGTGTGCATAAACCTAATATTCATTTTTTTTAAACCGAAGCCATAACACGTTTCATCCTTAGAAAAGTCACAGAAATTAGCAAATTTAAATATACAAACGCCACACAAACAGTTTTCTCTGCTTCACATGTTTATATAATTTTATAATTTGAGCTTTAAAAAAAGGAAATACAGGCAATAATGATCAGTCTGGTGTATTTAATCAAAATTCTAAGACCCTGCATTCACCCTCTGAGAAGGAAAAAAATGCTGAAAACGACGAAAAACAATTTTAGAGTAAGTAAAATATTTTAAAACTCCGTAGCTTTTAAGTGTACACATGCGGCTACCGTTGAAATAATTCAACAAAATTAATAATTGTGGTTGTTTCAGTTTTTCATCGTTAACATGATTTTTAAGACAATGGCAAATGGTAAATTAATATCAATTTAGTACAAAAACTTTAAGAATTCATATAGTTTTCGTTGCTTAGCAAGTTTCACAGAATCTTTTCCTTTTAGTATATGAAAAAGACGATAATAATGAGTCAGAGGCAATCATCCTACCCACTGAGATCTCACTTTCATCACATAAGAACGACCAAATACAATTCGAATGTAAGTTCAATATTACAAACATTGTAGCTTTTAGGTGTGCATATACGATTATTGTTCCAAAATAAATTGTTACGACTCAGTTATAAATTACTAATAACTACAGGAAAATATGTTGCACTCAAATGAAATATTGCAAAGACAATAACAATGCCAATCATTCTTTCTCAACTGTTAAGTAATTTCTCTGATGCTTATTAACGTCCAGAAAATGAAATACCGCATGTTTATACTAACCTCATCATTCAGTAACTAAGTAAGAGTACTAAAACACTGGCAAGTTCAAACTGTTTATTACAGTCAGATGCAAATAGAACAGATGAAAACATCAAAATAGCTTTATTTTACTAAAATGCATTTTCACATTGATCAGTCCATGTAAATTTCATATTTTTACTGAATTTGCTAAAAACCTTTCAAAGTTTATACGTACTTGCCGTCCCTATTTTATCTATGTAATCATCAATCATAGGGATGTGATAAGAATCTGATTTTAGTTTTAAGTTTCCTAAAATCTGTCATAAATCTGTACGACTTATCAAGTTTTGGAATTTAAACACTAGGTAACCTTCAGTCACTATCACTATACTCAAACAGATAATTATTTTTAAGCATGTAAGCAATTTCATTTTGAAGATATGATGTTTTTATGTGATTGAATCGATATGGATGTTGCTTTATCGGCTCGACATCACCTACATCTACATCATAATATGCATTTGATGGTCATGACCAACCATAAACGTGGAAACGATGACGAGATCGTTGTTACGACAAATGGAATTTAAGTGGTTTCGAATAGACACCTTCAACTCAATATATAGATAAAAACATTTTCTTAGCTATCTTCTTATAAACACCTTCTATAAAGGACTAACTGAAATGACAAACAATTGAATATCGTATCAAATGGCACATATATATTAAACTTCATAAACAAGTGTTAATGGAATGTTCCTGCATAGAATGGAAAGTTCATAAATGGATAGTTAAATTAATTTTTTGTACGAAAGACTGGAAGGGACATTCTCTTTTTAAAATTTCATACTTTCAAGTTCACATTTTTCAATTCCAAGTTGTCAACGTTTATCCTGTTTTACAGATAATGCGTCACCTCTGTTATTGTTGCTCATTTTTGCAGTCTTCCAGTTAGTAGCTGTACTGTGCAGGTTTTTTTGTCTTGCATGTGTCGAACGTCGCAGAATGCGAGACAAATGGATGCTTATCCGGCTACGGGGGCAGCGGCAGCGGTAGGAGCGTCAAGTCTTTGCCAGAAGCTGTAAAGTTCAGAAGATTGAAGACCTGGAAACTGCGTATCTTGTATACACTGCCTTATGTTCTGAAGTTTATGTTTGACATATATCTGTTGTCCTAACCTCATTTTCGTAGTACAGCCACTGCTTAAAAACTTTAAATTAATTTGTTTTGACAAATGATTTTGTCAGCTATTATGAGTATTAAAATAGTTATATTTAGTATATTAATTCATTGCAAGGCATACATGTTGGTAAGACAGGGTTCTTTTGACCATGATCTCATTTCAAGGATCATTGACTAGATCCGTTTCTACGATATTGTAGGGGATAGATAAACTATGTTTGGCGTATGGAAGGAAAGTTCGGTAAACATGTCCGTTCGGTAGGAGTCATATGACCTTGACGTCATTGTAATGGTTCATTGGTTTATGTTAAATATTTTCTATGAGGTTTGTTTCTCTGATACTTTAAAAAGAGGCAGAAGATACCAAAGGGCCATTCAAACTCTCAAAGACTCTCAAAATAAAGTTCAGTCATACTGCTTAAAGCAGGCAAGACATTTCAGCGTGTGTACTCTTGTTTACAGTTGTTTTCCATCGTTTGACGTGTTTGAGCTTTTGTCTTTGCCATTTTATAAGAGACTTTCCGATTTGAATTTTCCTTGGAGTTCGGTATATTTGTTATTTTACTTTTTACTATATTTTTAACGTTTAACGCACACCGATATGTTATAGATATCGACAAAGAGAGAAGTTTATGCGCACGACACATTGATTTAACCGCATCACATTGTGTGCCTGTATAAAGAGCAGCTATCTGAACCATGTGTTGTTCTTTTTTGTTTGTCTGCTTGTTAGTCTAATTTTTTTAAGGAGTCCTGATGTTGGTGGTTGCTATGGTCTGTTGTACTGTCCAATATTTTTTGGTAATTCCTGTTATCCTTTTTATGTATCAAAATTTAGATATATGATTTTTGTTTTATTTCATTAGCTACATTATTAAGACATAGAAGTGACAGCATAACCAGTGTTCCTGATAACTGTTCATCAATGGAAGAGATTAAATTGCTTCAAACTGATGACCGTACAACTGCCCTAATTTGGCAAACAAATCAAAATGATACATCTGTACCCAAAGACGTTGACACAAGTTCTGATGGATCATTCATGTCGGCAAAAGGTAGCACGACCGGATTAAATGAAATTGAAGACAACAAAAGTGTCATCAATGACTCAACAGAAACAACCACGAAGTCTGAAATGTCAAAGCTAGTATTTCAAAACGGGGAAAATGACAGTGACATACATTCTGGAAGTAAGCAATCTATTTTTTCTGGATGTCTGTATACATTTCACTTTCTTTTTAAGTCTAATATCAAATACATTTATCTTTGCTTTTCACACATCGCTTATCGGAAAAGGACGATTTGTGAGGTGGGATATTTCAATGTAGAAAGTCTATGAATGACTCCATTCCTTATGTCAATGATAAACCATAACATATCTGTTCTATGTTGTGAGTATTTAGCTGCCTTATTGAAGAACACCAATGTAGACATGGGTAAAGGAAGATGAGAGGTATAAGTCAATACGACAGCCACCTAACAATTTAAAAACAATTTGAAATCTTGGTGTCAATAAATGGTCTTAATAAAAGCCAAAAGAGTAAGTAAATTCTATTCTTTGATTGATTTATTCCTAGAAGTTGGTTGGACAGTAATTTATCTCGTATGCATCAACCTGATATTCATTCTTTTCAAATGAGCTTTTCTGAATAAATACACCGTAAACACAAAACACCGAAATGAGTACAAAAAAAATATATATATATAAATGCCACACAGATAGCTTTTTTTTTGGCTAGCATTTTTTGCATAATTTTATAATTTGAGCTCATAGAAAAGAAAATACAGGCGGCATTAACGATCAGTCAGGTGCATTCAATCTAAATTCTTAGGACCTACATTCATCTTCTAAGAAGGATGAAATAGCAGAAAACGACGAAATAAAATTTCAGGGTAAGTAAAATGTTTTAAAGCTCTGTAGACATACCGTTATAGTTGAAATAATTCAACAAAATTATTATGTGTGGTCGTTTCAGTTTTTCATCGTTAACATGATTTTTAAGACAATTTCACGAAATTCATATGGTAAATTCATATTAATCTAGTGCAAAAACATTGAAACTTCAAATGGTTTTCGTTGCTTAGCAAGTTTTATAGAATCTTTTCTTTCCTTTCAGCATATGAAAATGAATATACGGACGATAATAATGAGTCAGAGGCAATTATCCTACCCACTGAGATCTCACTTTCATCCTATACGAACGACGAAATACAAGTCGAATGTAAGTCCAAAAATAAAATCTTTGTATCTTTTGGGTGTGTATATACGATTATTGTTCTAAAATAAATTGTTTCGACTCAGTTATAAATTACTAATAACTACAGGAAATTATATTGCACTCAAATGAAATATAACAATAGCAATAGACAATAACAATGCCAATCATTCTTTCTCAACTGTTGAGTAATTTTTCTGATGCTTATCAAAGTCCAAGAAAATGACTTACCGAATGTTAATACTAACCTCATCATTCAGTAACTCAGTAAGAGTACTGAATCAATGAGAAGTTCAAACTGTTTATTACAGTCAGATGCAAATATCAAAATAGCTTTATATTACAAAAATGCATTTTCACATTGATCAGTCAATGGAAATTTCATATTTTGATGAGAAGGTAACTTTGACAAAGATTCCGAAATGTGAGAAAGCTATAAATAAGTGGATATAATTAATTATAGGTCACCGTACGTACTTCAACAATGAGAAAAACCCAGACCGTATAGTTGGCTATAAAAAGCCACGACAATTCAAATGAGAAAACTAACGGACGAATTTATTAAATAATAATTTACGAAAAACAAATATGACAGACATGAACCAACGACAACCAACGATAATGCGGTGGTGATATCACCAGGAACAAGCAGTCCGTCAGCAGAGGTATCGACCCAGCGACAATATTGACGTAAATGGTGCCATTTTTTCTGCACCAGATGCAAATTTCGACATTAAATGTCTCTCAAGTGAAGCTCAGGGCCAAAATATTTGAGAATATAAAATCTAATTCAAACGTTGATGAAGAATTGATAAAAACCTAAAGGAATCAAAAGACAAAGCCAAATTAAAAAAAAAACAGCTGGTTTAATTTGACATTCAACTTCTTTTTCATAATATGGTTTGATCATACTAATGTGACACACCCTTTTTTCCTTGAGGTGCCTTGAAGTACTTACAACTTAATTTATATTACTGTCTTTTTTGGCAATAGTGTAAGGTCCAAAGTACCTAGCTTGCAGAGTATGTCCAGGTATCGGTAAAATAATCAAATTTTGTCATTAGTTAAACACATCTTTTTCTGGCATGCTTATACCAAACTTTTATTTCAATTAAAGTTTTACTAAAGTTTTCATTTGCAATTTCACCGGCTTTATAAAATATATTTTTACATTTATATACATTAGATTTACTTTCAGGATATCATGTAACTGCTGTTTTTATTAATTGTTCTAATGAGCCCCTAACACTCAATTGAACTGAAAACTTAAGGTTCCTGTACAAGCTCCCTATCCTTTATCTCAATCCTTTCTAAATTTAAAACAAAATAAACAAAATTCCCTTATGATATTCATCAATGTCGGATGAAACTTTTAAAGAAAACCGTAGTTGCTATAAGAAATTTTCTGATTTGGCTTTCCTGCCACTTGACAAGTGTGACAGGATCTCCACAATTCTCTAACAACATCTAATGAAATTATTTATTTATTCTGATTAGTTTTATTTACTCCTACATGACCAGACATGAGCGCTTCTTGGCAAAAACTTAAAAGTGTTTGCTTATATTTGTTTGGAACAATTATCTGATGTGCTATTTTCCCTTTCATCATGGAGATAATACAATTCCTTATGTCATTACAATAACAACAAACAGTTCCATTTTATTGGTCAAATGACTTTTTCTGATTATTAAAATTTGAGACTCCAGATTTTCTTTATATAAACATTTTTCTGGACCGTTTGTAGGGTGTTTTGTGCTGTTATAAATAGTTTTAAATAAACAGGATAAAATGAGATGTATGGATTTCTTTAGGAAATTTAGTTTTTTCACTTTAATTTTAATGAGTAAAACATAAATATCAGCTGTATTTGCCTCTTCAGTCAATTTGTGAACTTAATGCTCATCAAAATTAATCTTTGATATTAATACGAATGTAGTTTTTAAACTCTTCAATTAGAAATAGCTGTCTTAATTTGTCAAAATTTTATCAATATTTGAACTACTGCGCAATCTTTCGATAAACGTCCTTTTTCCCTTTCTGAATAATAACTTGAAGTTTACTTGCTTTATTTGAACTTTTATACAGAGTGACGATACAGGAAAGGGAAAGAAACCTATTTATATTTTGAGTCAATATACCAAAGTTAAGGATTGTTGTTATGACAAATAATATATAGGTTATGTACATTGTGTTCACGTTCAAAACACTTAACATGAAATTCCCCAAAATGCCATTTGAACAAAATCATTGATAAATGCAAATAGATATTTTGGTTCACATAATCTTTTCATTTTAGCATTTGAAAAAGAGCGTAAAGACAAAGGTGATGACTCTGTTGAAGAGATCTGCACTGTTGAGGCAGAGAATGAAAGGAGTAAGGAATACAAACAATTGGATAGTAAATTATTTTGTAGTAAAATTTGTTTAGTGTTATATTGTCTATAAATGAATGTAGTTTTAAAACTCTTCAATCAGAATTAGCTGTCTTAAATTGTCATAATTTCATCAATATATGAACTACTGTATGATCTTTCAAAAATGTTCTTTGTGCCTTGCATATTCTTCATATTTTTGGGAATCGGATTTTTTAGTCTCTTAATTTTTTCGCGGTTTGCCTCTGTGACTAATTCATAATCTTTCAAATTTGCTTTTTGAGAAAAGAGCGAAACAAACAATTTAACAACATTGACATTATTTTACAGATACATGTTCCTCAACATCATTACATGCGCTGTTCGGATTCTTTATTATGTTAATAAACTATAAAATACACACAATAGTTGAAATTTCAGAATCAAGGGTCAAGTTATCAAGGTCGAAATGTGCTCTTCCTCTGCGATAATAGATTAACCCTTTCTAAAATTAAATGCTCTCATACGTTTCTAGTTTTGAGACTTCTACTATTTTATTCTAAAAGGACTTATGATGTTGATAATGTTTTTGAATTCCCAAGATGTTAACATTTAATTGTGAAAAGGCTCTTTTCCATTTTGTGTTTTAGAACACAAGTTTTATCATTAAGGAAATGTCGTCATCTTTTGAAAGGTTATCGCTCTTGACATCCTCATTGGACAATATTAAGTAAATGACAAGATGAAGAATACTAATGAAATGTTATTTTTATTTAGTAGCACTTGATCAATACCAATGATGGACTGTTAGACCCCGATGTTAACATCAACCCAGTAGTCAGTGTTTGGGTGCTTGCATGATTTTTAACAAACTTTTCCAAAATCTTCCGTTGATTAATTACGAAATTATAAAAAAACTTAGGTTCCAACTTCCTTAGGCAAAGCTTGCCTTAGATGAATTTGGCCATTTTGTTATGTCCATTTTGGGTAATATAACTAAATGACGTTTGAGTTTGAGCGTTCCCGATGTAGAAGAGAGGCGAACGATACCAAAGGGACATTCAAACTCATAAGTCGAAAATAAACTGACAACGCCATGGCTAAACAAGAAAAAGACAAACAGACAAACAATAGTACACACAAAACACAACATAGAAAGGTAAATATAACAAAGCCCTTCGGACGCAGGAAATAAAGAAAGTTTTATTTAAATCTTATATAGCCGTTCTTTCGGATACATTGGTCATTTTATATTATATTATTAGATTGTTATCCCATGTCCATGACACTAAACATAGTTGAAATATGCCATAATGTCATTTAGAACAAAATCAGTTATCATCGTAAAGACGTGGTCTTATTTTCACCACATCTTTTTATTTCAGCATCTACAAAATACTTTGGAGACAAAACTGAAGAATCAGATGAAGAGATCTGTATTGTTGAGACCGGGGATGATAAGATGAAGGAAAACGAAGAATTGAATAGTAAGATTGTATACAACAGAAGGGTTGGAAGTGTAATGGTGTACACATATGAATCTGCGAATTTGCTTATACGTCATCAGTTATAATTTAAGTTTTTTTTTCAGAATATATGATCCTGAATATACAGTTGTTGCCAAACGTTTTTTGAAATACATTCTTTGTATTACTTTTTATAATTAAAATGATAATTTGGAAGTAAAGTTCCAGAGTAGAAACCTACAAAGTTCTTCCTCACGTCAATGTATTAGCACGTACAGAACATTTTAAAGGAGTTTTTTTTTATAAATAACATATTCATTGTTCTTTGATTACACTAATTTTTTGTCCGGAATAATCAATTTTATGCTGCCGGATTTTTTCCATTGTAGTCCCCTTGTTGTCCCATCCGTCTGTCTGTCTGCTGGTCTACTCATTGGTTTCTAAATAATAACTTGAAGTTTCCTTGCTTTATTTGAACTTTTTAGCAGTCTGGCGATACAGGAAAGGCAAAGAAACCTATTAATTTTTGGGGTCAATATGCCAAAGTTAAAGATCACTGTTACGACATATTATATGTAGTTTATGTATATTGTTGTCCAGGTTAGAACATTAAACATGCATTAAATCTCACAGAATGTCATTTAGAACAAAATAATTGAAGTAAAATTTATCTTTTCATTTAAGCATTTGCAAAAGAGCATCAAGACAAAAGTGATGAACCTGTTGAAGAGATCTGCACTGTTGTGGCCGAGAATGAAAAGAGGAAGGAATACAAACAATTGGAAAGTTAGTTATTATGCAATAAAATGTGTTTAGTGTTTCATTGTCCATATATGAATTTGCAAATTTGCTAATACATCAACATGTGCTGTTCGGATGTCTTTGTTTTGTCCGGTAGTATAAGGATGTATGCCATAGATTAATATCCAGTATCTTTCCTTTTCCCATTATATGAACACGGTCAAACTACGTTGAATGAACAAAAATTACCATATCAAATACACACAATAATTAGAAAATTTCAATTTTTGACAAGGGTCAAGATAAAAAAGTCGACATGTTTTTTCCTCTGCGATAATAGATTAACGCTATCTAAAAATAAATACTTTCAGGTTTTTTTTTATTTTGGCACTACTACTATTTTATCTTAAAATGAAAATGTTGACATTGTTTGAGTTCTGAAATTATTAACCTTGAGTTTGAAAAAAGTCTTTTTCATTCTCTTAAACTAAGTACACACGTTTTATCATTAGGAATTTGGACTTTCAACACCAGGAAATGTCGTGATCTTGTACAAGGTAATCGCTCTTGACATCCTCATTCGACATTTTTAAGTAAATGACAAGATGAAGAATACTAATGTAACCGTTGTTTTGAATACATTGATCATTTCATAGTATTTTATGAGATTGTTATCCCACGTCCATAACACTAAACATAGTTGAAATATAATATAATGTCATTTAGAACGAAATCACTCAACAAGGTATAAACGTTGTCTTAATTTTTCATTTCAGCATCTACAAAAGAGCATAAAGACCAAAGGGACGAATCAGATGAAGAGATCTGTATTGATGAGGCTAAAAATATTAAGAGTAAGGAAAACGAAGAATTGTATAGTAAGTTTTTATACAGCATGGGTTTGGAGTGTAATGGTGTACACATATGAGTTTGCAAAATTTACTTATACGTCATCAGTTATCATGTCAATTTTTTTTTCTCAGAATTAGTTATATTAGATAAGCAGTTTTTGCCCAAAAACATTTCGAAGTATTGTCTTTGTATTGTGTTTATGATTAAAATGATAATTTGGAAATTCATTTCCAGAATACAAACAATTGTTTTTTTTTTCTTCAAATTCTTCGATGACTTTACTTTTTTGTCAGGTCTAATAATTTTTATGCTATTTGAATCTTTTTATAATAGCCTTCTATTAGGCTGTCAGTCTGCTCATCCGCCAATGGCTTTAAACAAATGGTTTCTAGATAATACCTTGAGGTTTCCTTGAACACTTTTACAGAATGAAGAAATCGGAAAGGTGAAGAAACCTATTGATTTTTGGGGTCAATATGACTAAGTTAAGAATCACTGTTACGACATATTATATGCAGTTTATGAGTATTGTTGTCCTCGTTCAGAACATTAAACATGCTTTAAATCTCACAGAATGTCGTTCAGAACAAAATCATTGAAGTATAAATAGATATTTTGTTTAACATAATCTTTTCATTTTAGCTTTTGAAAAAGAGCATACAGACAAAAGTAATGAACCTGTTGAAGAGATCGGTAATGTTGAGGCCGAGAATAAAAAGAGTAAGGAATACAAAAATTGGATAGTTAGTTATATTGTATTGTAAAATGTGTGTAATGTTATAGGTGGCACGGTAGTATTTCCTCGCCCATAGGGATAATGATAGCATTTTTAGAATTTTCCCCACTTTCAATTTGAATATGTATGATGACCGTTTACTTTTTTTGCTATTTTCATAAACCTAAAGCCATGAGGGCTTTTAGGTCTTTTATCATGCAGTGAATACAAAATTAAAAAAAAATTAAAAAAAAATCATTTTCACCTGTATGTAAAATTATTTCATATTTTTCTACACCTGATTTATCCCACAGTTTGAGAAAGTATGTTCTGTAGATACTGTATTTTTGTCCATTCACACTTCATATACATTGACTTAAGAAGGGTACACAAAAGAGAAACCTAAATTCTGGAATGTAAATACTACCGTGCCACCTATACTGTGTAAACATGAATTTTGCTAATGCATCAATAGCATTACATGTGCTGTTCGGATGTCATTGTTTTGTCCGGTACACATAAGGACTTATGTTATGAATAAGTATACAGTTTACTTTTTCTATTACATGTATATGAATACTGTCAAGCCATGTAGAATAAAGAAAAACTAAAAATTTACACACAATAATCGAAAAATGACTTATAATGTTTACATTGTTTGAGTTTTGAAAATATTAACAGTTAAGTGTGAAAAAAACCCCACTTTTGTAGTCTGTGTAAGTTACAACATAAGTTTTATCATTATGAAGTTTGCACGTTCAACATCAGGAAATGTCGTGACCCGGTGCAAGGTTATCGCTCTTGACATCCTTATTGGACGTTTTTTAGTAAATGACAAGAGGAAGGATACTAATGTAATCGTTGTTTTGGGTACATTGATCATTTCATAGTATTTTACGAAATTGGTATTACGTATGCATGACTGTAAACATAATAAATATATACCATAAATATAAAAATAAGGAGATGTGTTATGATTGCCAATGTCATAATGTCATTTAGAACAAAATCATTGAACATCGTATAAACGTTTTCATTTTGTATAACCTATCTTCATTTCAGCATCTAAAAAAGAACATAAAGACAAAAAGGACGAATCAGTTGAAGAGATCTGTATTGATGAGACCGAGAATATTAAGATTAAGGAAAGCGAAGAATTGAATAGTAAGTTTTTAATCAGCAGAAGGGTTTGGAATTTAATTGTGTACATACATAAATTTGCGAATTTTGTTTATACGTCATTAGATATCATTTCAAATATTTTTTTTTGTTTATGTGATCTTGAATATGCAGTTGTTGGCTCAATTCTATCGAAATGTAATCTTTGTATAATTTTTAATTGTTAAAACAACAATGTGATATTCACTTCCATAGAAGAAACTATAGTGTTCTTGCTCACTTCCAATTTTTTTACCAACACGCACATAATATTATTAAAGCAGTTTTCTCAAATTTCTGTATGTCATAGAACTTTGAACTATTTTGTTCAGATCTAACGATTTCTTGAATCTTTATATAGAAGTCATCGTGTCTACCCGCACTCGTTAAGGATCGCTGTTACAAAAAAATAATTGTTTGGTAAAAATCGTTGTCAGATTATAACTTGGAGTTTCCTTTGTAAGTTAAAACTTAAACTTCTATAGATGGAATATATAGGAAAGGATAGGAATCCCTGAATTTATTTTCATGTTGATAGGATATGAGTCCAGTTCTCAGCTTCAGGGAAAGGAGCAACAACAGCAAAGGTACAGGATTCTCGCTATTAGAAGTTTTAGAATGAATATTACCATGACAAGGTCTTAAAATAAGTTAGATTGAACTCAGATGCATTGAAAACTCTGGATGAATTTTAGCGAAAATATCATACAATTATCTGCATTATTGTTCAAAATATCAGTATTTTTATTGTTGGGTCTGAATAAAGGTTATCATTTGTGCCCATTGTTGTGAAAATAAATGGTAATTGTTGACAGTATATACTAAATATCATTGCCTGATATAAATATTTATTTTTACTTCTTATATATCATCCTATGTTTAATCAACTTTTCTATATATACTCGTACAAAACATGCGTCCGTTTGTCGCATTTTAAGTTTATAATTTTTTTATATGGAAATAAATGTCGGGGTTAATGATTCACGTGTTTATTTCAAGATAAAGAACGGCAATCCAATTGCGGTTTCTGGATACATTGGTCATTATTCATATTTCAAGAGATGTTGTTCCATGATGATACTCAACATTCATGAAAAAAATCTTCCGAAACTTATGTTCATCAAAGAGTTATTTTGTTCACATCATCTTTTTAATTTAGTCCCTGAGCAAGATCATAAAGATAAAAGTGATGTATCAGATGCGAAAAAGTCCGACACTGAGAATAAAAAGCGTCAGGAATACGAAAATTTGAACAAAAGTTGATATAAGTAGAAACTCTATAGAGTTTGTGTATGCACATAAGACTTTACGAATTGGTGAATTTTGCTACAACATTATCAATTTTAATTTCAAATATTTCTGTCCCGTTTATGTGCACTGTAAAAAGGATTAAAAAGGTTTCATTTTGACAAAATATATTAATTTCTTAGTTTTTATTAGTCAAATGACAAATAGAAAATCAACTTGATTTAGGAACTGTAGTATTAAGATTTGCATATATGCCTGGTTGATAGAAAATTGATATCAGACAATCATCAAGTTTTTATATTTTTTCTCATTATATATAGTAGTTTAAGAGGAGTATCCTTTATTTTCATATGCCAAAATGTAATGATTGATTATCTTATTAGAATTACAAAACGTGGTCATTGAATAATTTATACAGTTACAAATTTAACAAAAAATTAAAAAGTATTGTTTTTGCCCAGCAGCACGTGAAATCAAATATTTTTTTATTTAGTATACTTGTGTGACAAACTTCAAAATGGAGAGTTATTTATTTATCTATATAGAAAAATGATAACATTTAATACTGGTTCTTTGTAACTATTTAAACTCTTACATAGGGAGTGTGGCACACATGGTCATCGATTTTCTTCAAACTTCACACACTTACTAGTCTTGATGAAACAAACAAAAAATGGCAAAATTTTGGTTGCTATGCATATCGGTTGCCATAGCAACCGATGACCAGTTTTACCTGTTCTGGATATCTATGGTTTAAGCTGAAAAAGGCAATTTTTCATATTAAATAAATAAGAGACAGAATATTTTTTTATGATTTTATTAAATATATGCATTTTATTAATGTAAATTAATAACTGATATTTTCATATCAATTTTCAATCATAACCACATATACCCCCCTTTTTATGTGGTTTGCATTAGGTAAAAAATACCCTTTTGAGGTCATTTTTGAATGCTCACCAAAATTTTTTGCGGACACCTGAGTAAAAGTCAACCATGAATTCATAAATACCATAGTCTTATCTTATTAATGACGCGAAAAAGTCATGGGGAATTATGTCATATTATTTTGTTACCATGGATACAAAATGCTTAGTTTTAATTTTTTCAGAAAAAAAAATTGAAAAATTTTGACAAAAAATGTTTTAAAACCTAATTCTGCAGTCAGAAAAAATAAATAAATATACAATATGTAGAAATTATTGTAATCATCAAAATTTTAAACATATTCATATATAAAAGTATTATAGTTTAAACTGTGTTGCTATGGAAGCAATTTCATGATGATACACAAGTTTAAAACAATTTTGAAAAAGTTTCAGTTAGTTTCTTAAATGTGCACAAAAGTAGGAAAACCAAAACACTTAGCAAGTTTCATTGTATACACACATGTGTATATATAAATAATTTTGCTAGTATAGTATATCGATAATGGTGTTACTACTTGAAGGAGACAAACACAATTTCTCTAATCTGGATAAAAGTGCTGATTATGAAGAAATTTCAGTCTGTTTCATGATCATGAAAAATATACAAGAAAAACAATTACTCAATCTAGAAAAAACAAAAAAAAATCATTTAAAAAATTATATATATTCAATTGTGCAATATTTGCCATTGAATTCGTTGCCATGGAAACAAGCAGTCCATTTTCAAAATTACTGATGAGTGCTGATTTTTACAAATTCGTTTTAATGAACTTCGATACATATAGCAATGAATGTATACAATTTTGCTTACATTATGCAGGTTTTTTTGTATTTGAGAAATATTAATAATATTCCAGGCATTATTAGTGATAGTGTTGCAATAGAAACAACAAATTATATGCATAAACTTAGAAAACGCTTTAAAATAGACTAAATTTCTCATACAAAAACTCTCTTCTGTAAGTTTTCAATTTAATGCAGTTTCAAAGAACGATGGTTTTTACAAGTCAGTCCATCAACTATAATTATTCAAATGCTGCAGTGAAGATTAAAGATCAAAGTGCCACTTGGTGTTGACTGTTTGGAATTATAGCTCTTAGCTCATAACTATTTATACATAATATTAAGAAGATTCAATCAGAAAATTGACAGTTCAAGAAAGGCCAAGCTTAAAATTGTTTGTGTGGGGCACATAAAATAATACTTTTCACAAATGAAAAAAATCAATATCGTTGCTTTGGTTTTTTTTTCGGGGGGGGGGGGGGGGTCACTTTTTGTCCGTGACTTTTTATCTGTGACTTTCTGTCCTACATTCTGACCGTTATCATGGCCAGGAGAAATGACTTTATACCTATTTATATGTAATAGGCTTTGCATCAAATTTATAGAAACACTTAGATTGAACCATTAATTTTATCAAATAAGAAAATATAAAATGATTTTCAAACATATTAGCAAACGATAAATGTATTGACTTTCGGGAACTTTTCAACTAAGACAAGGCTCTGGCATACCTCAAGTTAAGTCCGCGAATATATATGTTCACTTATATTTTATGAAAATATTTTAAACTACCAAGATATCGTGCATACAGGGGCTCGGGCATACCTCAAGTAGTCCCCGAAATATTTATTTGTTTGTTATGAAAATATTTAAAACTACCAAGATATCCTGCACAAGGCTCGGGCATGCCTTAAGTAGGACGTGGAAATAATTATTTACTGTTCAGAAAATATTAAAAAACAAACTATATGGGATTTATCAACTTACATGTATTTATGGCCTACTTCACACCTTTTGTGTGTTACTTTATATTTGTGATCAAATGTGTCAAATTATAACCGGTAATATACGACATAATTTACAACACAGTAAAATACAATACACTACCCAATACTATAAAAAGTTTAAATAACCCCGTGCTCGTCACAGTACCCTAAACTGTTTTCCCCAGGTTTTTTTTATTATTTGATAAAGACTTTACCATTCAATCTTAATGTTGTTTTTTTAATAAATTTTAAGCAAATCCTATAAGATATAAATAAGTATTAGGTAGTACAACAATCAGGACACAGTCAACGTTGGTCATGTCAAGTTTTTTACCCAAAAACATATATTTTTCCTGTTGTTTTTTTTAATAATATAAAATAACACAGAAAGTTTCATCGGTTAGGTAATTGCTGTTGTTGGTCAGGGCATTGTCAACGTTAGAAAGGTCACTTTTTCGGAATTTTTTAATAATTGTTTCCTATATTTATTTATCAAATGATAAAATTTTATTATTATTTCAAATTTAACATAAATCTTTTAAGAAACGATTTTCATTTGGTCCAATGATAGCATTGGTCAGGTCAAGTTTTATGAAGATTTAAAAAAGTTTTCAATATTTTTTTTTTTTATATTTATGTATTAAATGGTCTAAATTTATTACAATTCAAATCCTTTGAGAAATAAAAAAGTTATTAGCATTTTCGTTTTGGTCCAGTCATTAGTGTAACCCACCAAAGGGAGATAATTCGTATTGTGAGGAATATTGCACGATGATCATTTTTTTAAATTAATTTCACATGTTTCTAGGTAGATTCCCCATAACTTTTTTTGATTTTTGATAAAAACAAGAATGAAATTAATTGTTTTTGTGATTCTTTTTAATAGATGTAGCCGCATAATTTCACAGCACTACACCAAATATTGTATTTTTCTCAAAAATCCCAACTTTCTCCGCTGTTACCATGGTAACCAACCAATAAATATATCGGTTGGCATTATTTTTTCTGCCTAGGCTAATAGGATCTACATATCAGCCAATTTTCAGAAAGATCGGTGACT